TGCACTTTCATCCGCCGCCATCACCTCATGTTTCAGCATGATAATGCACGGCCCCATGTCGCAAGGATCTGTACACAATTCCTGGAAGCTGAAAATGTCCCAGTTCTTCCATAGCCTGCATACTCACCAGACATGTCACCCATTGAGCATGTTTGAGATGCTCTGGATCGACATGTACGACAGCGTGTTCCAGTTCCCGCCAATATCCAGCAACTTCGCACAGCCATTGAAGAGGTGTGGGACAACATTCCACAGGCCACAATCAACAGCCTGATCAACTCTATGCGAAGGAGATGTGTTGTGCTGCATGAGGCAAATGGTCACACCAGATACTGACTGGTTTATTATAGAAAGAGTTCAGTGAACTCTTTCTACGTTTATAGGCCCCCTTTAGTTTTTTATTACGATAAATTATCTTTGCTGTTTAACTGATGACCGAGTCGGAGCAGGTCTCTTTGCTGATGCCGCGTTTGACATTGAATGTGAGTTTGCGTGAGCTCAGCCTATCAGAAAACCGGGCTGGCCCATCTTGGTAGGGGGGCCGGCCATTGCCAACTGATCAGCCAAAGGCTCATTATAGATTCAAAAAATGGTCCAGCTTCTTCGACTCTACTCTCCTCTCTTTCCGCATCCTATGACTCGCACTGTCCTCTTTCCTCCCGGCCGGCTCGGCCCTCCCCTCCTGCTACTTGGCTGAGTGACTCATTGCGAGCTTACAGAAAATGAAGGAAAACTAAACTTCTGGAGGACCTATCATCCTTTCACTACCTCCTCTCTCCCATCTCTTCCTCTGTATCTGATGCTAAAGCCACTTTATATCACTCTAAATGTAAACTCTTTTCCACCTTCTTAATCCTCCACCCCCTACCCCTCCCTCTCTGCGGACGACTTTGTTAACCACTTTAAAAAGAAGGTTGACGACATCCGCTCATCATTCACTCAGCCTATTGAGTCCACTGGTCCCACTCACACAGAACTACCCTACGCCTTGACCTCTTTCTCCCCTCTCTCTCCAGATAAAATCCTGCGACTAGTGAGGTCTGGCCGCCCAACAACCTGCCCGCTCGACCCCATCCCCTTCTCCAGACCATCTCTGGAGATATTCTCCCATTCCTCACTTCCCTCATCAACTCATCCCTGACCACTGGCTGGTTCCCCTCAGACTTCAAAATGACCAGAGTCGCTTCTCAAGAAACCAACACGGACGTCATAAACTACAGACCTGTATCCCTTTCCTTTCTTTACTAAACACTTGAGCGTGCAGTCTCTGATCAACTCTCTCGCTATCTCTCTTAGAACAATCTTCTTGACCCTAACCAGTCAGGCTTCAAGACGGGTTACTCAACCGAGACTGCTCTTCTTTGTGTCACGGAGGCTCTCTGCACTGCCAAAGCTGACTCTCTCTCCTCTGTTTTCATCCTCCTAGATCAGCCTTTCTTAAAGTATGGGTCGCGACCCAAAGTGGGTTGCGGACCTGTTAATGGTGGGTCGCGACGTGTCAGAGTAATGTATAATTATTTTATTAATTACTGGAACTGATTTGGCCAAGTGCAATTGCGCTCTCTGTTCAGTGCGCTCTCTGCTTAGCAGTGGTGTCTCTGCTCAGTTTGGCAGCTGTGTGAGTGGGAGGGAGATGCCTGTGTGCTTCGCGGTTCACCAGATCTTTTTGTGTTTTGTGCAGGGAAGTGCTTAGTAGTGAGTCTCTCAAAACGAACAAATTAAAACAACACGTCCTGACAAAACATCACAGCAGGGAGTTCTTTCAGAACAGGGCACAATGCTTCCGGAAACAGTGCTTCGACAGCGGAAAAATAAGTCAGCTAGCAAGGCATTTTTTGTATTTTCTAACAGGTGATGATAAGCAGAAATAAGGGAGTACTATCGCTCATAGTAGTAGATGTGAGTTTCTCTTTCAAACAATCCCTTTGTACACAGCTAATAACTAGCTAATGTTAGCCAAAGCAAGTTAGTTAGCTATTGTACTTAGTGCAACCCTAAGTAACAGTACAGATGAAGATGAAAAATTATCAGGCCTACTGTACATCTTACTGTAGAAATGATTGTTGAAAACACGTCTAGTTTGGAACTGTTGCTGTTAAAATACAAGTAATCATTTTTATTCTGGAATAAATTGATTGAAACAAGATGCTTTTTAAGGCAAACACATTCACACAGTTCTGGGTTGCTCATCTACAGCAGGAAGCGGTCCCCTGCCTGACTGAGAAAGCAGTAGATGTTCTGATCCAGTTTGGCACCACATACCTATGCAAGTCAGGGTTCTCAACACTGGCGTACTTAAAAAAACAAGTACAGAAACAGACTCAATGCTGAGAATGACCTCAGGGTTGCACTGTCGAAAAACCGAACCCAGAATAGACATACTTGTTGAAAACTTGTGTGTGTGTGTGTCTGCGTGTGTTTTTTCTGTTTTACATCTGTGTGATGTGATCAATTAGTTTGTTCCAGTTCAGAATGAAAATGATTTATTGTATTTTAACAGCAACAGTTCCAACCTAGACAGATATGTAAGAGTGTTTATAATGGGGAAAAATAAACATGAATTGCTATTTATATGGTTATTTCATTTAATTGTTATTTGTTTTTGTCTATATTGCATTTGTTTTAGGCATAAGGGCAATTAAATGTACCAATATTTATGTATAGCTGCATGTTTTCATAAGTTTGGGTCCCAGGAAAACACAGAATTTCTAATTTGGGTCCCAGGCTGAAAAAGTTTAAGAACCCCTGTCCTAGATCTATCCGCTGGCTTTGACCCTCTGAACCATCAGATCCTCCTCTCCACCCTCTCATGGCTGGGCGTCTCAGGCTCTGCATCCTACCAGGCAGGCTGTTCCTACCAGGTGACGTAGAGAGGATCTGTGTTTGCACCACTTACTCTCACTACTGGTGTCCCTCAGGGCTCCGTTCTAGGCCCTCTCCTCTTCTCTCTATACACCAAGTCACTCGGCTCCGTCATATCCTCACATGGTCTCTCCTATCAATGCTATGCGGATGATGCTCAACTACTTTTCTCCTTCTCTAAAATGTACTTTTTGGTCAACCAGCCACTGTGGCAGGTAGATCAAAAAATATAGCCTCCACTCAGATTCTTTTTACCAGCCAAAATATTTTTCTCGCCATAATTACACCAAAAAATATAAAAATAAAGGATGAGCATGCTTTGTAATGATTCTAAAACAAGAAATGCATTACTAGTAAGAATAAATGGGTTATTGCTTAATTACATTTTTGTGACTTGCGTCTTTTAACCAATGTATGTTCAAATAAATAATTCAATAGTAAAACCAGATAAAACGTTCTACAACTAAACATTGAGAACCAACAAAGTGCTGAGAGATACACCCTGCCCTGCCACAACACACCTTATTATTAGAAACCTAGGAGAACAATTAAAGTATTTGAGTGTTTTAATGATAAGAAATTACTAAAAGTTCATGAATAAACGTTTTTTGGAGTGATCCACGCTCAATCAAGAACACTCATTAGGTGAGACAAATGTTCAGCTGCCACTTTAAGGGATGGGTCGTTACCTTGGTAACTTGGTCACTTGTTTGTCTGTGATGAAAACATCTCAGACTGCGATGTCTTCCTAGCAGCAGACAGTTGCAGCAGACTCAAACTAACATTGAACAACCTAGCGTGTGAACATAACGATGTAACTGGTCAAGAAACACGAGAACAAAGTCACACTTTAGGTCAATTCTACCAACTTCTACATGTGGGCTTTGGATTGAAAAAGACTGTTCCAAAATTCTCTGTGACTACCCGCCAACATGGCTGGTGAAGACCTTCTTACCCACCAATGACAAACTCTACCCGCATTTGGCGGGTGTTCATTTCCCACCTTGCTTCTGACACCCAGGTGGCGACACGCATCTCTGCGTCCCTGGCAGATATCTCAGCTTGGATGGCGGCCCACCATCTCAAGCTCAACAAGACGGAGCTGCTCTTCTTCCTGGGGAAGGCCTGCCTGCTCCAAGACCTCTCCCATCACGGTTGACAACTCTACGGTGTCCCCCTCCCAGAGTGCAAAGAACCTTGGCGTGACCCTGGACAACACCCTGTCGTTCTCTGCAAACATCAAAACAACATCCTGTAGAGTACGACCCTACGTCACACAGGAAGCGGCGCAGGTCCTAATCCAGGCACTTGTCATCTCCCGTCTGGACTACTGCAACTCGTTGTTGGCTGGGCTCCCTGCTTGTGCCATTACACCCCTGCAAAACGCTGCAGCCCGCCTGGTGTTCAACCTTCCCATGATCTCCCATGTCACCCCGCTTCTCCGCACCCTCCACTGGCTTCCAGTTGAAGCTCGCATCCACTACAAGACCATGGTACTTCCCTACGGAGCAGCAAGAGGAACTGCCCCTCCCTACCTTCAGGCTTTGCTCAAATCCTACACCCCAACCCGAGTCACTCCGTTCTGCCACATCTGGTCTCTTGGCCCTCCCACCCCTACAGGAGGGCAGCTCCAAGCTCTTCTCTGTCCTGGCACCCCAATGGTGGAACCAGCTTCCCCCTGAAGCTAGGAAAGCAGAGTCCCTGCCCATCTTCCAAAAACATCTGAAACCCTACCTTTTCAAAGAGTATCTTTAAATAATCCCACAGCACCCCCCCCGAAAACCCACCCAAGAAACTTCCGTAAACTAACCCTCGCACTTGACTATTTTCCCCCTTACTAGCTCTGACTTTGCTGATAGCTACTTTATTGAGGAAAAATGTACTTACTATGACTGTGATATGTGGTTGTCCCACCTAGCTATCTTAAGATGAATGCATTAACTGTAAGTCGCTCTGGATAAGCGCGTCTGCTAAATGACAAATGTAAAATGTGTGTGTGTGTGTGTGTATTTATGACTGTGTGTGTATAGTGTTCATACACTCACCCTTTTCCAGTTGCCCAGGCTCCTCCGTAGCAGGATGTGTTGATGCAGTTGGTCGGCAGAGGCCCATTTCTGAGCCAGGGACTCGCCTGCTACCTGCTGCCAGGACAGCATGCACCGTCTCAGGAGAGACTGCCTGTGATGAGCCCTGGCCAGCTGGAAGGGAATGAAAATAATCCCTATTCACATGTGCCAGGCAGGTAACAAACAATGGCAGGGTATAAAGGATAAGGAGCCTGCACGGCATTGAGGCTGACATGCTGAAAATGTATTGAGAGAAATGTACAGTACAATTCGACATTCATTTCAAACTCATGGTCTTTAAAGAAGTTAGGACTTTGACCCCTGGTAAATAACGTGAATAGAGTTGTTGGGAATCAAGCTAAGTTGTTGGGAGTCCAGGTAAACCTGTAGCAGCATAGAACATGTGATATTGAACGAGCTGTTCAGCTCCTCAAGGTTGTATACAGTAGATTGGAACAGAACATGTTGCTGAGCACAGGAGGCTGCTGAGGGGAGGACAGCTCATAATAATGGCCAGAACGAAGCGAATGGAATGGCATCAAGCAACATGGAAACCATGTGTTTAATGTATTTGATACTATTACACTTATTCCGCTCCAGCCATTACCACGAGCCCGTCCTCCCCAATTAAGGTGACACCAGCCTCCTGTGTTGCTGAGATGTTACACCATCCATCTTCACGTCACTTGCCCATCAATCATTCCTCTCCTCCAACCCCTCTCATCTCACTCCCTCTCTTCCTGTACCCCTCTCCTCTAGCCTCTCTTCCTGTACCCATCTCCTCTAGCCTCTCTCTCTTCCTGTACCCCTCTCCTCTAGCCTCTCTTCTCCTGTACCCCCTCCCTCTAGCCTCTCTCTCTTCCTGTACCCATCTCCTCTAGCCTCTCTCTTCCTGTACCCTCTCCTCTAGCTCTCTCTCTTCCTGTACCCATCTCCTCTAGCCTCTCTCTCTTCCTGTACCCATCTCCTCTAGCCCTCTCTTCCTGTACCCCTCTCCTCTAGCCTCTCTCCTTCTTCCTGTACCCATCTCCTCTAGCCTCTCTCTCTTCCTGTACCCATCTCTCACCTCTCTTCCTTAGCCCTCTCTAGCCTCTCTTCCTGTACCCATCTCCTCTAGCCTCTCTCTCTTCCTGTACCCATCTCCTCTAGCCTCTCTCTCTTCCTGTACCCATCTCCTCTAGCCTCTCTCTCTTCCTGTACCCCTCTCCTCTAGCCTCTCTCTCTTCCTGTACCCATCTCCTCTAGCCTCTCTCTCTTCCTGTACCCCTCTCCTCTAGCCTCTCTCTCTTCCTGTACCCCTCTCCTCTAGCCTCTCTCTCTTCCTGTACCCATCTCCTCTAGCCTCTCTCTCTTCCTGTACCCCTCTCCTCTAGCCTCTCTTCCTGTACCCTCCTCTAGCCTCTCTCCTGTACCGCCTCTACCTCTCTCTTCCTGTACCCCATCTCCTCTAGCCTCTCTCTCTTCCTGTACCCATCTCCTCTAGCCTCTCTCTCTTCCTGTACCCATCTCCTCTAGCCTCTCTCTCTTCCTGTACCCCTCTCCTCTAGCCTCTCTCTCTTCCTGTACCCATCTCCTCTAGCCTCTCTCTCTTCCTGTACCCATCTCCTCTAGCCTCTCTCTCTTCCTGGATCCTTCTCCTCTAGCCTCTCACTTCCTCTCTCTCTAGCATATTTCCATCTCTCTGCCAGTTCAATTTGACCTACTGGTTCTCACAAACAGGTAGTCAAACAGGTGCTTATACCAACAGCATACTCTACACATAATTCCAGCTCTGAGCGTGATGTCTGGGATTAGGGTGTATGTGTAGGTGGGTGGGTGTGTGTTTGGCTTTAGATTTAGTTACAGAGTGTGTGTGTGTGTCATTTCCATTGGGAATTGTGTGAGGGTGTTGGTTGGTATCTGAATAAGCATGACACCTTAAAACCTGTAGTTGTTTGAGGGAAAGAGTCTTCTATGTATGTGTGTGTATTTGAGTGTAGCTGTGAATACATGTGTGTATTTGAGTGTAGCTGTGAATACATGGGTGTGTAGCTGTGAATACATCAAAGGACTGCTTATACCAGTCACTAGATGAGGCCCTTCATCGCATCCCCAGGAATGACAAGATCTTTCTGCTGGGTGACTCCAATGCTAGGGTGGGACAGAACAACAGGATATGGAGTGCTGGGTAGGCATGGTGTTGGCCAGGTCAATGAGAACGGCATGAGACTGCTAACTCTGTGTCGATCATGATCCCGAACACCTTGTTCCGGCAGAAGAACAACGTCATGGATGCACCCACGCTCCAAACACTGGCACCTGATCGACTACGTCATAGTAAGACCTTCTGACACCAATGACTTCCTGCTGACACTTGCCATGAGGGGTGCTGGACAGATCACCATATGACATTGGCTAAACTCCAGGTGAGAATACATCCCCGCAACGCCTGCAGAAGTGCAGTAAGAGGCGTCTGCACTGTACCCGGCTTGAGAAATCTGCAGTAAGGGACGAGTTCCGTCGCTCTCTCGCTGAAAGGCTGAGGGAGATTGAGCCTCTTCTGAGCTCAGAGGACCCCATGGACCAGAAGTGGGCATCTATCAGCTCAGTGCTCTATCAGGCAGTGGCCCACTCCATTGGCTACAGAGGTAGGAAACATCAGGACTGGTTCGATAAGAACTCTGACACCATCACAACCTTACTGGACAATATGCACAAAGCGCACAGGACTACTAAACAGCCCCACATCTGCTATCCTCCACCAGCAATGGCGAGCATTACGCAAGGAAGTGCAAACAACCTCGCATGCTCTGCAGAACGAATGGTGGACGAATAAGGCAACAGGAAATCCTAATTTATGCAGACAAAAACGACATGCACAATTTCTACAACTCAGCTACAGTATCAATGGCCCTAGAAGTTGCTCCATCACCCCCCTGAAAACAGCTGATGGCTCTTCTGACTCTCTTCAAGGACCAAAACCAGATCCTGTTGAGGTGGGCTGACCATTTTGAAGCACTCCTCAACCTGCGCTCTCCAACAGAACACTCCATCCTGGAAGAACTGCCTGTCCATCCACCCATTCAAAACCTCAACCATTCGCCAACCTTCCAAGAGGGGTTATCATCTATCCATTCCCTCAAGAACAACAAGATTCCTAGCGCTGACAGCATCCCAGCAGAGCTACTTAAGAAGGGAGGTTACTTCTACACCAGAACGCTCCACCAGTATATACACCCTCTGCGGCAACAGCCGGAGGATATCCCTTCTGGCTGTTGCCGGTAAGGTCCTGGCCAAGGTGATGCTACACAGGCTGGTGAACAACATCACAGAGGAACTGCTGCCAGAGTCACAATGCGTCTTCAGAAAGAACAGGAGCACGGTCGACATGATGTTCACGGCACAACAACTCCAGGAGAAGTGCCGTGAACAACGTCAGGACCTTTTCATGGCCTTTGTCGACCTCTCCAAGGCCTTCAACACTGTGAGCAGGGAACTACTATGGGGCATTCTACTCACATTTGACTGTCCAGACAGATTTGTCAACATCCTTTACCAGTTCCATGATGGGATGATGGCTCGGCTGGCCATAAGAGGGCAGGAGTCAGTGCCCTTTGGAGTAAGCATTGATGTGAGGCAGGGGTGTGTGCTGGCACCTGTACTCTTTAACATCTTCCTCCTATGTGTCACTCAGCTTCTCCACAAGGATCTTGAGGACAGCAGCAGGGTTGCAGTGGACTTCAGGCTAGATGGAAACCTATTCAACATCAGGAGGCTCCAAGCAACCATCAAGGTTTCGACGGAGCGGGTTCTGGAGCTGCACTATGCTGATGACTGTGCTCTTGTGGCCCACAGTCCAGAAGAACTTCAGTCCGTCCTTGTAGCGGCTTTGAGGGTCTATAGCAGGATGGGACTGTATATCAACACCACCAAGACAGAGGTGGTCTGCCAATGGAGATCCAGCCCTCCACCCACCATGCCTGTCTTCACCATTGAACACAAATCACTGGCTATAGTCCCTTCAAATACCTGGGCAGCATCCTCTCGGATGACTGCAGCATCGACACCGAAATTCAAAACAGGATCAAGCAAGCCTCAGCTGCCTTTCGGGAAACTCAGATGCAGGGTTCCAAAACAAGATCTCCACCTCTACACCAAAGATCTCCACCTCTACACCAAAGATCTCCACCTCTACACCAAAGATCTCCACCTCTACACCAAAGATCTCCACCTCTACACCAAAGATCTCCACCTCTACACCAAAGATCTCCACCTCTACACCAAAGTCGCCATCTATCAAGCATCAGCACACTTCTTTACAGCTGTGAAGCCTGGGTCACCTACAGTCCTGACCCTGCAGTTCCTGACCCTACAGTCCTGACCCTACAGTCCTGACCCTACAGTCCTGACCCCTACAGTTCTGACCCTACAGTCCTGACCCTACAGTCCTGACCCTACAGTCCTGACCCTACAGTCCTGACCCTACAGTCCTGACCCTACAGTCCTGACCCTGCAGTCCTGACCCTACAGTCCTGACCCCACAGTCCTGACCCCACAGTCCTGACCCTACAGTTCTGACCCTACAGTTCTGACTCTACAGTCCTGACCCTGCAGTCCTGACCCTGCAGTCCTGACCCTGCAGTCCTGACCCTGCAGTCCTGACCCTACAGTCCTGACCCTACAGTCCTGACCTACGTCTGACCTACAGTTCTGACTCTACAGTCCTGACCCTACAGTCCATGACTCCTGCAGTCCTGACCCTGACAGTCCTGACCCTCAGTCCTGACCCTGACAGTCCTGACCCCACAGTCCTGACCCTACAGTCCTGACCCTACAGTCCTGACCCTACAGTCCTGACCCTCTGACAGTCCTGACCCGCAGTCCTGACCCTACAGTCCGACCCAGTCTGACCCTACAGTCCTGACCCTACAGTCCTGACCCTACAGTCCTGACCCTACAGTCCTGACCCTACAGTCCTGACCTACAGTCCTGACCCCGCTCCTGACCTACAGTCCTGACCCTACAGTCCTGACCTACAGTCCTGACCCTACAGTCCTGACCCTACAGTCCTGACCCTACAGTCTGACCCAGTCCTGACCCTCAGTCCTGACCCTACAGTCCTGACCCTACAGTCCTGACCCTACAGTCCTGACTCTACAGTCCTGACCCTGCAGTCCTGACCCTACAGTCCTGACCCTGACCCTACAGTCCTGACCCTACAGTCCTGACCCTACAGTCCTGACCCTACAGTCCTGACCCTACAGTCCTGACCCTACAGTCCTGACCCTACAGTCCTGACCCTACAGTCGCCACGACAAGCAGCTCGAGCGATTCCACATAAGATGCCTGCAGCGCACCCTGGGAATCACCTGGTGCGACCGTGTGCCCCATACGGAAATACTTGCTAAGACCATCTGCAAGAGTATGGAGGCCATGGTCACCCAAAACCAACTGCGCTGGCTTGGGCATGTCATTAGAACGTCTCAGGAGCGCTTGCCGCGGAATATCCTGTATGGCCAGCTACACCTTAGCCGGCGGTCTGCAGGGGGGCAGATGAAGCGCTACATGGACCAACTGAAAACGTCGCTGAAGAAGTGCAACATCAAACCCACAGACCTGGAGGATGCTGCTTCCAAACCGTTCCACCTGGCGGCAGTTCTGCCAGAGCGGTGTACAGAGGAGGAGGAGAGGAGCACAAAGAAACAGCAAAAACAGCTGCCTGCCCCCGCCAACACAGACTGAGACATACAGCCATGCCTGCCCCCGCCAACACAGACTGAGACATACAGCCATGCCTGCCCCTGACAACACAGACTGAGACATACAGCCATGCCTGCCCCCGCCAACACAGACTGAGACATACAGCCATGCCTGCCCCTGACAACACAGACTGAGACATACAGCCATGCCTGCCCCTGCCAACACAGACTGAGACATACAGCCATGCCTGCCCCCGCCAACACAGACTGAGACATACAGCCATGCCTGCCCCTGACAACACAGACTGAGACATACAGCCATGCCTGCCCCTGCCAACACAGACTAAGACATACAGCCATGCCTGCCCCCGCCAACACAGACTACACATGCCTCACCTGCAATAAAGTTTGTGGATCTCGGATTGGACTCCACCAAAGAATTCACCGTTAATGCCAAATTCTCTAAAACGATGTTGGAGGCGGCTTATGGCAGAGAAATTAACATAAAATTATCTGGCAACAGCTCTGGTGGACATTCCTGCAGTCATCATGTCAATTGCACGCACCCATAAAACTTGAGACATCTGTGGCATTCTGTTGTATGACAAAACTGCACATTTTAGAGTGGCCTTTTATTGCCCCCCAGCACAAGGTGCACCTGTGTAATGATCATGCTGTTTAATCAGCTTCTTGATATACCACACCTGTCAGGTGGATGGATTATCTTGGCAAAGGAGAAATGCTCACTAGGGATGTAAACAAATTTGTGCACAACATTTTAGAGAAAAGGTTTTTGTGCATTTGGAACATTTCTGGGATCTTTTATTTCAGCTCATGAAACATGGGACCAACACTTTACATTGTGGAACTCGGATTGGACTCCACCAAAGAATTCACCGTTAACTCAGAAGTGGAAGTCATCATCGGATACGACAGACTACCATAAGCGAATACAATTTGGTGTCTGCTGTGTTTGATTGGCTGTCCTGAGCTATGTGACTCTAGGAGAGAGTGTGTGAGTGTGTGTTGAGTCTCTCTGTACAGACCCTGCATGTGGCCAGTTGATTGGTCGAGGCCGACAGCACCGGTGATTACCTGAGTGTTGGCTTGGCTCTGGGCGACTAGGCGTTTCCATGGCTCCAGGCCTCGCCGTAGTAACAGAGTTATGTGGTAGTGTTGCTGTGCATGGGTCTGGAGCTGCTGTTCTCGTGCCAACCTCCACTGTTTCTCCTCCTCCCTCTGAATACACACACATAGTCAGACACAGACACACACACACACACACACACACACACACACACACACACACACACACACACAGAGATAATCAGACACACACACACACACACACACACAGACAGGCATGCAGACACAAACACACACACAGATAATCAATCACACACACACACACACAGATAATCAGACACACACACACACACAGACAGGCATGCAGACACAAACACACACATACAAACACACACACAGATAATCAATCACACACACACACACACACACATTTGGCCACTGGTCATTACTGTTTTAATGTATAGCTACTTTATGCACACATGGTTCTGTTTTATGTTTGTGATTAAGCTATTTGTCCTAGTATCAGAGCTAGGAGCCACATTTTCAAGAGCTTCTAAATGTCTAATTAGATCTGACCACCAAGCTCTGTCAATGTGACGTAAGGCCAACATTATCACACACAACATTGACCAACCATTGCCAACATTATCACACATGACTTTGACCAACCATTGCATCATTGCTTTGAACAGCTACCATCAACACATCACTTCCTAAGATCTAAGAGAATAAAAATCAAATGTTCGATGTGTTTCCATCGCATTTTCAACTCTACCGTTTTGTCACAAAAACTGTTGCGTTAAATAGCAAATGTGCCTACTCTGGTCTTGGCACGTGCTCTCTAGCCAACAGCTCCCAGATACAGTGCGGGTAGGCTAGTCTACATGATGAGATTATTATGGATAAGAGCGAGAATAATCTTTTTATTTGTCAAACGGCAGTCCAGCATCGATCATCATGTCACTAGAATAAGACCCTCAATATTTATTGGAAAGCAGCATCAAGCTCATCACTGTGCACTTTCACCACCCTGTGAATTTCATCATAATTTATTTAATCTGTAGCCTAATAAACTGCATGGTTTCCAGAGTCGTAGTGGGAGTACCACACACTTTATCATCACGTGACTCAATATTTGCGCATTAAGGCGTTCCCACCGCCATTTCTCGCATAATTTAATTTTACTAACACAAATAGATCCCACCATCTTTCTGTCTGCATTCATAAAATTGTACTGAAACTTCCTGTTTTACCACAGCTGTTGTGTTTTTTGTGTGTTTTTTTTAATGAATAAAAACGGTGGATGGAAAGGTGGTTACTGTCACATTTCCTTTGCCTATGTTTTGGGGGAAAATCAGTACTTTTCCTTGAAATAATAATTAATCTCCTCTGACTGTGCATTTGACAGTTCTTACTTTCGCCACTAGAGGGCGATCAGATGATTTCTGTGGGTCTGTACTCTGTTGACTGTTTTTGTGCTTGCCAGTTAGCTGGCAGTTCTCAGCTGTTAGTAGCCAATCAAACATTAAACCTCAAACAATTCATGGTATCCTTGTAAACAATTCATTTGAAACATTTGCTCAAATGTGTGCCGTTGCCCGGCTATTAAAAGGGACAGACGTTTAAGTTTAACGGTATATTATGTTATTATTATGTATTGTATAAGTGTTAATGACATCTATGTATATATACACTGAACAAAAATATAAAATGCAACAATTTCAACGATTTTACTGAGTTACAGTTCATTTAAGGAAATCAGTCAATTGAAATAAATAAATTAGGCCCTAATCTTTGGATTTCACATGACTGGGCAGGGGCACAGCCATGGGTGGGCCTGGGAGGGCATAGGCCCACCTACTTTGGAGCCAGGCCCACCCATTGGGAAGCCATGCCCAGCCAATCAGAATGAGTTTTTCCCCACAAAAGGGTTTTATTACAGACAGAAATACTCCTCAGTTTCATCAGCTGTCTGGGTGGCTGGTCCCAGACGATCCCGCAGGTGAAGAAGCCGGATGTGGAGGTCCTGGGCTGGCGTGGTTACACGTGGTCTGCGGTTGTGAGGCCGGTTGGACGTACTGCCAAATTCTCTAAAACGATGTTGGAGGCGGCGGCTTATGGCAGAGAAATTAACATAAAATTCTCTGGCAACAGCTCTGGTGGACATTCCTGCAGTCATCATGTCAATTGCACGCACCCATAAAACTTGAGACATCTGTGGCATTCTGTTGTGTGACAAAACTGCACATTTTAGAGTGGCCTTTTATTGCCCCCCAGCACAAGGTGCACCTGTGTAATGATCATGCTGTTTAATCAGCTTCTTGATATACCACACCTGTCAGGTGGATGGATTATCTTGGCAAAGGAGAAATGCTCACTAGGGATGTAAACAAATTTGTGCACAACATTTTAGAGAAAAGGTTTTTGTGCATTTGGAACATTTCTGGGACCTTTTATTTCAGCTCATGAAACCAACACTTTACATGTTGCATTTATATTTTTGTTCAGTATATGTTTCTGTACTGTCCCTGTGATGGCAAGAAATAATATCTGGGTCTGTATGTATCAAGCGTCACAGAGTAGGAGTGCTGATCTAGGATCAGCTTCCCTCTGTCCATGTAATCATATTTATTGTGATCTAAAAGGCTAAACTGATCCCAAGTCAGCACTCCTCCTCTGAGATGCATGATACATACGGCACCTAAAGACCTAAATACACACTCAGTGAAGTGGAAGCTTTCAACTTGAAAGTTGTCCTCAGTACAGTTCTACTGTAAACATCACCTCTCTCTCTTGTCTCTTCTCCTCCCTCCTTCTTCCTGCTGCTCTACGTTTCTCTTCCTCCTCCTCCCTCTGCCTCTCCTCCACCGCTGCTTTCAGCTGGGCCTGAGAAGAGAAGAACGTTTCTTGATTTAATGCTTCCAAGCACACTATCACACTTCCCCAGATTCGCTTCAGTGGACCGCACACACACTCCCCTGCAAACAGTTTAATTGTCCTCAATAACTTTATATATACTTCAATAGCCCCTCTAATTCCCAGCCTCTAAAGACCTATCTGAACAACACCAAACTATTCCACATCCTCCACTGGCCTAAACACTCCATTTCTCACCAGCCTCTCCTCCTCCTGCTTTCTCTTCAGCGCCTCCACCTCCCTCCTGCGCTCCGCTCGCTGACGTGCACGTTCCTCCATAGCTGAGAGAGAGAGAGAGAAACCCTTTTGGTTCCAGGTAGAACTATTCTGGGTTCAATATACTGTAGAACCCTCTGTGAAAAAGGTTCTACCTGAAACCAAAAGGGGTTATTCAAAGGGTTCTCCTATGGGGACAGCCGAGTAACTCTTTTTGGTTCTAGATAGCACCTTTGTTTTCTAAGAATGTACATACAATGCATTCGGAAAGTATTCAGACCCCTTGATTTTTTCCACATTTTGTTACGTTACAGCCTTATTCTAAAATGGATTAAATTACTTTTTTCCCCCTCATCAATCTACACACAATACCCCATAATGACAAAGCGTCTGAAATGTCTGCAAATGTATTACAAATTAAAAAACATAAATACCTTATTTACATAAGTATTCAGACCCTTTACTATGAGACTCGAAATTGAGCTCAGGTGAATCCTGTTTCCATTGATCATCCTTGAGATGTTTCTACAAATTGATTGAAGTCCACCTGTGGTAAATTAAATAAATTGGACATGATTTGGATAAGGCACACACCTGTCTAATAAAGGCCCCACAGTTGACAGTGCATGTCAGAGCAAAAAGCAAGCCATGAAGTCGAAGGAATTGTTCGTAGTGCTCTGAGACAGGATTGTGTTGAGGCACAGATCTGGGGAAGGGTACCAAAACATTTCTGCAGCATTGAAGGTCCTCAAGAACACAGTGGCCTCCATCATTCTTAAATGGAAGAAGTTTGGAACCACCAAGACTCTTCCTAGAGCTGGCCGCTTGGCTAAACTGAGCAATCCGGGGAGAAGGGCCTTGGTCAGAGGGGTGACCAAGAACCTGATGGTTACTCTGACAGAGCTCCAGAGTTCCTCTGTGGAAATGGGAGAAACTTCCAGAAGGACAACCATCTCTGCAGCACTCCACCAATCAGGCCTTTATTGTAGAGTAGCCAGACGGAAGCCACTCCTCAGTAAAAGGCACATGACAGCACCTAAAGGACTCTCAGACCATGAGAAACAAGATTCTCTGGTCTGATGAAACCAAGATTGAACTCTTTGGCCTGAATGCCAAGCGTCACGTCTGGAGGAAACCTGGCACCATCCCTACGGTGAAGCATGGTGGTGGCAGCATCATGCTGTGGGGATGTTTTTCAGCGGCAGGGACTGGGAGACTAGTCAGGATCGAGGGAATGATGAACGGAGCAAAGTACAGAGCGATCCTTGATGAAAATCTGCTCCAGAGCGCTCAGGACCTCAGACTGGGGCAAAGGTTCACCTTCCAACAGGACAATGACCCTAAGCACACAGCCAAGACAACGCATGAGTGGCTTCGGGACAAGTCTCTGAATGTCCTTGATTGGCCCAGACAGAGCCCGGACTTGAACCCGATCGAACATCTCTGGAGAGACCTGAAAATAGCTGTGCAGCGACGCTCCCCATCCAACCTGACAGCGCTTGAGAGGATCTGCAGAGAAGAATGGGAGAAACTCCCCAAATACAGGTATGCCAAGCTTGTAAAGTCATACCCAAGAAGACTCGAGGCTGTAATTGCTGCCAAAGGTGCTTCAACAAAGTACTGAGTAAAGGGTCTGAATATTTGTGTAAATGTGATATCCGTTTTTTAAACCTGTTTTTGCTTTGTCATTATGGGGTATTGTGTGTAGATTGATGAGTGAAAAAAACAATTGAATCCATTTTAGAATAAGGCTGTAACGTAACAAAATGTGGAAAAAGTCAAGGGGTCTGAATACTTTCCGATTGCGCTGTACATTTTTGGTGTTGTTCTGTTCCAAAAGAGAACGTGTGTATGTGTGTGTAACAGAGAGAGTGTATATCTATAGGCCCATACCACTGCTCTCAAATCGCCCCTTCCTATTCCTACCACGTATAGGAAACTTCAGCCAAACAGAGTAACAGAGAGAAACTTTATTCCTCCACGTAAGCTAGCTACAGCTCTATACAGCCGACTCACGGCCATGAAATAAATTTTCTCCTACTTCCTATTATTCTCCACAACAACAGTCAGACCATTCATTGTGTGATCAACCATCTGGAAGCAATATCTCTGTGTTTATTTCTGTGTGTGTCTCTCTATGTGTGTGTGTGTGTGTGTGTGTGTGTGTGTGTGTGTGTGTGTGTATTTTAGCTCTACGCAGAGCTTAACATGGAGGTGAATGTGCTGACTGACCCATGACGGTGGGATGACGACAGGGCTGACGGACAGCTGGTTTCCTGGAGGCCGAGGAACGGCCATCGTTCCCCCGAGAGACTCTCCCAGCCCTGAAACACAGAACATCACCCAGAAACACACATCATTAAATATTCACTCTCTAATATAGATCTACTCCCAATTTACCAGACTGACCCAACCAGCCCCGCACACAGGGGGCATTCTAAGGACTTGTTTTTGTTTGGAGGGAAGGTACAAGAAGAAGGTATCTCCTGTTTTATCTGAACGGTAGTGAGGAGGACTTCATGTTCTTTTCAATGAATTAACTTTTAAATAGTGAAAATTTCAGCAGACATGTTGTCACGCCTGGAGTAATATGCAGGGAGCATAACATGTTTATTACCATAGTTATTATCATGTTTATTACCATAGTAAATCATGTTTATTACCATAGTAAATCATGTTTATTACCATAGTAAATCATGTTTATTACCATAGTAAATCATGTTTATTACCATAGTAAATCATGTTTATTACCATAGTAAATCATGTTTATTACCATAGTAAATCTCTAATTAGCCTCGGTTTTATTCTCAAGGGGAAGTGGTGTATTGTTTTAATATAATTAATCCTCTGTGTATCCTCTGCTGATGACTCAATTAAGGCGAGAATTACCGCAACGTTTCATACTTTTTACTTTTTGAGTGTTGGGTAGTAGAATATAAATCACAACTACCCAACACCAAGCCTACACTAGGATAATGTCTTGTCTTCAGACCTGAGCATGATTTGAAAGCCTTCAAAACGAGAAAACGCTTAGCTGTCTGCTTCAAGTAACAGATGAGTGTCCACAAGTCATGAGCTTTCGTACCAACTCATGTTCGCTGCATACTAAATGTTGATCTACCAATGAAAGTGCTGTGTCTGCTGATCCCCTTGGATCCTATGACCTCTGACTGAAATCAGCCACTTTTAACCACAATCACGTCATTCGGTCCAAGCGGAACTGTCATTTCTAGTCAGTCCCCCATTGGTATCGATTGGCTTGGGTCTTGAGGTTTGAGCACACTTCCGAGGACCCTGCGTTAGAGCCTTGCACACGCATGAATTTGAAGACCGAGCCCTACCCATGCCCACGACATTCAGGCCCTACCCTACCCAGGCCAGATTGCTTCTGCAAAATGTAAAGCCGGGTCCTGCCCGAAATCAGAAATAACTTCCTCCATTAGTAAATCCATTAGCTGCTCCTCTCTGTCTGTCACGCGCTCCCTGCGCGCTGCTCGCTCAGTATGCACTCCGCTCAAGGCGGCTCTGAGTCGGTGAGTATCCATAGCAACGGCTCCGCTTGGGCTGCTCTGCTCAATGATGAGACATGAGACCACTGAGCTGTAAGCTACTTTACGTCACTCTAAACTCCAACAAAACTCAAGGAACATTATTATTTTCTGTGAAATAATCTCTCCTGTCTTATATTTGGCAATGTTGAAGCATTTGTGACACCATGTTATGATCTTAGTCAGATATGACTGTACTGCGCAGACAAGTACGAGAAACTGGCTCAGCTTCAAAATGTTAGTGATCAACTTAGTGATACCCGAGCCCTACCCGTACCCTAGTTATTGATGAAAAAACAGGCCCTACCCGGCCCTAACCCGATGTATAATGTCGGGGCCCATCGGGCTCGGGTCAGACACACCCTACACAGGCAGCCTGTGTGCCTCTCCTCCTCACCTGGGTTCCCATGGTAATGTGAAGAGGGACCTACCTGGGTTCTTTGGGGTCAGAGGTCATCCCTCTGGGGCCTGGGGATGCTGGGACAGCGATCTGGGCGGCTGTCTGGGCCTCCTGCCTCAGTCCCATCATGCTTTGCTCCTCCTGCAGGCGTGCGATCTGCTCCTGTTGCTCCCTGAGGAGCCTCCTCTGCTCTGCGATGGTCTGCTGCTGGCTGGCGTGGCGATGCTGGAACCGCCCCCCCCACAACGCTGCACCTACAATGCCCACCTCACCCCTCTGCCGTGCTCGCCTCAGCTCGCCTATTGAATAGAATACAACTTTATCATCCATTGTGAAATTATGTACATTTCTAACACTTTGTGGAAGTTGAAACCTAATCACTGATATACATTTCAAATTTCCCTTTATCACCAATATATATATTTTAACTACCTTGGTCGGAACACTGGAACGGAACTAAATAATAGTGGTTCTGTTCGGAACAAATGATTGGAAAATCGTTTCGGTTCCAACCCCTGCTTGATAGAACTAGAGGGTAGACAAGTTGCCCTTAACTAAGATATAGGTAGGAGTTTCCCCTAATCACGGATACAGGGTCAGCATTTTAACTTTTACTTTGATCACTCACCTGCACTCATCGCCGCGTTACGCCGTGTCACCTGCCAGGGGAGGGAGCGCAGGACCACAGCCCCCGGCTGTCCGTCACCTTGACAGGCAGAGGGGGTGGGGCCAGCAGGTCGTGACCCTGGCTGACCTTTCTGCAGAGACAGGAATTGTGTAAAGTGTAGGGGTCACATGGAAATGGGATGAAGTTGATTAACAAAAAAAATACAAATACATTTTTTGTTGGGAAAAACAATCTCAATTGACATCAAAATGACTAGAACTAAATAAAAACTGTGTAGAAACAACAATGACTTACAGTCTCTTCACTCTGACCAGCTCACTAACAGTCATCTAACGAATGCTAGACAGTCAGGGAGCATAGAAAATTCCAAAAGCGATAGATATGGGACTAATTTTAGGACATTTTGACGGCGGGGAAATATTCCCAATTTGAAGTGCGGCCCTCCGTACCTCGGTGAAGACCGAATGCGGCAGGGCAAATGTGTTTGACACCACTGATCTAGATACAAGTTGCTGTGCCTCTCTCTCGCTCCTTTTCCTATCTCCCTCAAGCTCTATTCCACTATTCAATCTCTGCCTTTTTGTCAGTCACTTCCTCTCTCTCTCGCTCTCTGAGGAGAAAGCAAACCTTGCAGTGTTGTGAATATTTCATCATTTCATCAAACTCCCAGAGAGAAAAGTATGGGCCAACTCATGCGAGGAGAGGAACTCTGAAACAGAACCTGTTTATTCAATAGATACTGATAGACTAATGCATGACTTTCACCAAATGAATACAAAAGCACATTTTATTGCCTAATTTGACCATTGCAGAATTAAGCTATAGCTAATGTTTAATTCATGACTACAGACCGTTACGACCTTCGGGCTTCTGTCTGTACTGTGATACGCTCCAGCAAATGTATATCTAATGTGCAGACACAACACTGTGTGTGTGTCTGTATCTGTCATTTTGTGTGTGTCCTCCTACGTAGCTATGCCTGTACTTTCTTTGTGTTGACTTTCCTCAGTGGGAGGGCTCTACAAGTGTCACTCACCAGTTCTATGGTTTCTGATTGGTCAGAAGGCTCAGGCAGGCCTGTGATTAGCTCAGGAGCATGCGCCTCCATCATCTTGAGTTTCCCAGTTGCCGCAGCATTGATCAGGGCGGCCATCTTGCGCCTCGTCTCTTCCTGCTGTGACAACAGCTCCCGGCGTTCTCTCTCCGCCCGACACCACAGCCGCCAATCACTCAGGCATCGTCTTAGCAAACGCCTCCGGTCACTCTCCACCGCCACCTGGCAGCGTCTACGAGGGATTACGCACTATTAGAGACAAACACCTGGTGTGACTGTGACGAGCTTGAGGGCCAGATTTGCTAATCATCTTCACCAGGGGTTACCAGGCACCTGTTTATTTGGCAAGGCAAAACAAATGACCTAATTTAAACTGTCCAGGTTTTCTTCCTCAGTGTTCATAAGTCAGATTCAGTGTTAATATTAAATTCAACCTGCGCGCCAGGTAGGTAGAGTTTTCACTTTTTTAACCAAAGTGCGAAACATAAAACTCCACCCTCCCAGCACACCAGGCGAGCTAAATCAAGTATGCAGATTGTAATGTTGGGACAGACTCCATTCTGTGCTTACCTGTTCTGGGTTCGTAGCTCCTCCTCTGTTCTCTCCGCTTCCCGCTGCTCTCGCCCTGCCCAAACCAGCGCCCGCCAGGCTCGCCACGCCCTCAGCTGTCTCCTCCAATCACAGAGCGCCGCCGCCTTGCCCATCCACACCCTCCTCTCCAACAGCACAGAGTACCAGCCAGAGAAGTGCCTCTGCAGAAACTGAAAACACAGATGCTGTGAACACTAAGCACACACCAACCAACAGAACCCTGTCCTTCCCCTCCACACCTGTATTCTACTAACCTTCAGGTTGTGCATCTGAACCCTGATCTCTGCTTGCTGTAGTCTGAGTGGTCTCTCTGTGTCCTGTTGTTTCTGTGCAGTAGAGCGTGAAGGGCCTGGCTGGAGTACCAGAGAGCTCTTAGCTGCCGTCTTCCTGGCGACCCTCTCCCTCTCCCTGTGGGGGAGACACCCAGACACAGTCAGACCTACAAGACCCTGAACTAGCTCCAAACAGATTGGCATATTTTAGAGACCCAGCATTCTGAATAAGAGCTCATTGCATGGGTGTGATGCAGGTGATTGTAGGAGTGTGGAAGTAAACGCGTGGTTTTGTTTGTCCTGTTGTTAGCCCTTAGTTTCCATGGTTACTGTACATTTGCCTGGCTAGCTGCTCCAGGTTCCTCCTCTCCTCCATCTCGCGGCGCAGTAGCACCATCTCCTGCTGCACCATCTCCTCCTGCCTGCGTGCCTCCTGCCTCCTCCGCCTCTCATCCTCCTGCTCCCTCCTCTGCGCCTCCTCCCTGGCCTGCCTCCGCGCCACCCTTTCCCTGTGCAACCTCTCCCGCTCCACGTCCCGCCGTGCACGGTTCTCACGCACCTGGAATGAGAAAAAAGGAGGAATTAGACGTGGATGTTGTCATAAGCTGTTGTAGTAAACAGTTCCATTCACTGGGACTTCCATTTGGCTCCCAATGCAGATACTACAGTGTTACTTCAACTTTGTCAAGAATCTTGGGAATCCAGAGACTGTCCAATCCTGCGTAATGTCTCTCTGGTTCTGTACCTGTCGGTGACGTGCCTCCATGGTGAGGCTCGGGTCCCTCCTCTTCCTCCTGTCTCGCTCTTCAGAGTCTAGTGCCAGATCCTCCACTATCCCAGAATCCACCACTTCCCGCTCCATGAGGTCTTGAAGGAAGTTGTTGACCGCTGAGCTCTCCTCCTCCTCAGCCAGGTGGGAATACAGGTCTGAGAGAGAGACGGAGGGTGTACTGTATGACATATGGTCCTGATGGACCCACTGACTGTGGTATGATGTACAGTGCCTTGCAAAAGTATTCATCCCCCTTGGCGTTTTTCCTATTTTGTTGCATTACAACCTGTAATTTAAATGGATTTTTATTTGGATTTCATGTAATGGACCTACACAAAATAGTCCAAATTGGTGAAGTGAAATGAAAAAAAGTACTTGTTTAAAAAAATTCTAAAAAATAAATAACAGAAAAGTGGTTAGTGCATATGTATTCACCCCCTTTGCTATGAAGCCCCTAAATAAGATCTGGTGCAACCAATTACCTTCAGAAGTCACATAATTAGATTGTGTGCAATCTAAGTGTCACATGATCTGTCACATGATCTCAGTATATATACACCTGTTCTGAAAGGCCCCAGAGTCTGCAACACCACTAAGCAAGGGGCACCACCAAGCAAGCGGCACCATGAAGACCAAGGGGCACCATGAAGACCAAGGTCAGGACAGGTCAGGGACAAAGTTGTGGAGAAGTACAGATCAGGGTTGGGTTATAAAAAAATATCCGAAACGTTGAACATCCCACGGAGCACCATTAAATCAATTGTTAAGAAATGGAAAGAATATGGCACCACAACAAACTTGCCAAGAGAGGGCCACCCACCAAAACTCACGGACCAGGCAAGGAGGGCATTAATCAGAGAGGCAACAAAGAGACCAAAGATAACCCTGAAGGAGCTGCAAAGCTCCACAGCAGAGATTGGAGTATCTGTCCATAGGACCACTTTAAGCCGTACACTCCACAGAGCTTGGCTTTACGGAAAAGTGGCCAGAAAAAAGCCATCGCGCTTAAAGAAAAAAATAGGCAAACACGTTTGGTGTTCTAAAATTGAGCTTTTTGGCCATCAAGGAAAACGCTATGTCTGGCGCAAACCCAACACCTCTCATCACCCCGAGAACACCATCCCCACAGTGAAGCATGGTGGTGGCAGCATCATGCTGTGGGGATGTTTTTCATCGGCAGGGACTGGGAAACTGGTCAGAATTGAAGGAATGATGGATGGCGCTAAATACAGGGAAATTCTTGAGGGAAACCTGTTTCAGTCTTCCAGAGATTTCAGACTGGGACAGAGGTTCACCTTCCAGCAGGACAATGACCCTAAGCATACTGCTAATGCAACACTCGAGTGGTTTAAGGGGAAACATTTAAATGTCTTGGAATGGCCTAGTCAAAGCCCAGACCTCAATCCAATTGAGATTCTGTGGTATGACTTAAAGATTGCTGTACACCAGCGGAACCCATCCAACTTGAAGGAGCTGGAGCAGTTTTGCCTTGAAGAATGGCCAAACATCCCAGTGGCTAGATGTGCCAAGCTTATAGAGACATACCCCAAGAGACTTGCAGCTGTAATTGCTGCAAAAGGTGGCTCTACAAAGTATAGACTTTGGGGGGGGTGAATAGTTATGCATGCTCAAGTTCTGTTTTTTCGTCTTATTTCTTGTTTGTTTCACAAAAAAATATATTTTGCATCTTCAAAGTGGTAGGCATGTTGTGTAAATCAAATGATACAAACCCCCCAAAAATCCATTTTAATTCCAGGTTGTAAGGCAACAAAATAGGAAAAATGCCAAGGGGGGTAAATACTTTCGCAAGCCACTGTGTTAACTGAACTTTATATTGTCAGATGGAAGTTGAGAGTTAAATATGTTGTTGTGTTGGTTAGTGTCTCTGTACCATCAAAGCTGCTGTAGTCCAGGGAGACAGGCTGGGCAGGTGGCATGGCTTCTGGATTGTTTTTCTCAGGGGAGCCAATCACATCGTCCTCTTCCTCCATCTCCAGTTCCAGACGCAACTTGCTGTTCATCCAATCACTCAGAAGAGCCTGGGCTACAGGGAGAAAAAAAAAAGAGTCACAAAAAAGGTATATGTGTGTGTGTGTGTGTGTGTGTGTGTGTGTGTGTGTGTGTGTGTGTGTGTGTGTGTGTATGTGTGTGTGTGTGTGGCCTACCTTCCCCGTATGCTTCGTCATGATCCAGCAGCTGCTCGGTGCGCTGTAGTGCCATTGACTGGCTGCTTATCCCTGAATGGGGCTTCTTCAGGGAAAAAACCTCAGTCACTGCAAAGTCTGATGCCATTTCCACTGTCTGGGGACACAAAAGCACACCTCATGAATACATATGGCCTTATAGACAGATATAGCAGAATAATATCCTCTGCACACAAACAGTCCATCTCTGGTTTCAGGAGGTAAAGTTAGACAATGTGAAATAAAAGAGTTCTCACCTTCATCCATTGGTTGATCTCCCCATTATTGAGCCGCACCTGCTATTGTAGAAAATTAGACTTATTTATCATGACGATCAGAAAGAGCAGGAAAAATAAAAAGTGTGTTGCTTCGTCATTACTATTACTATGTTTCACAGATGGTGAGAGTGGTTAACTGGTGGCTGTAAAACCAAGACAGCCCAGCCAATGCCTAATGGCTGAGGATTATTTCAGATTAATTTCCTATAGCAGTTGAAAAAAGTATTTATCTTCTAAGAGTGATTCAAGTAAGAGTGATTCAAGTATCCCTGTGTCACCCTGAGCACTACCAGAGGATCTCAAAAAGGCCATTTAAACTGTAAGGGCTTCTTCAGCCTTCTCCAGTCACTGAGACGTATAAATCCATACATTCTGAAGCCCCGCTTTATTTCTAAAGATGGCTTTGAGGGCACTTTTATTATGGTTTATCCATCTCGATAGGTTTCTTCCAGTAAGGAAATGTCAGAGATGGAGACAGAAAATATGATACAGTTGAATATATTTAAAAGGTCCAACGCAGCTGTTTTTATCTCAATATTCAATCATTTCTGGGTAACAATTAAGTACCTTACTATGATTGTTTTCAATTAAAATTGTAAAAAATAGAAATAATAATAGCTTCTTAGCTAAGAGCAATTCCTCAAGCAAGTATTTTTCTAGGACTGTCTGAGTGCGGAGGGGAAAACTGAAAATAAGCTGTTAATGGCAGAGAGGCTTGGAACTCTTCTAAATGTATGCACTCACTAACTGTAAATCGCTCTGGATAAGAGTGTCTGCTAAATGACTAAAAATGTTAAAAATGTAAATGTCTATTAACTAATTTGCAGCCTGGTTATGTCACCAGGCAGGCCACAACTCTATCCCACCAAAACAGGCTGACATTTCAGGCTGTCTTTTTAAACAGCTCTTACAATAAAAGTGCATTAGCATAATTGTAACAATTTCACCGTATTATTCCAACCTCACAGTGTAGAAATATACAAAACACAGGAAAATCACGTTTTTGACTGCACCGGGCCTTCAAAAGTTTTGTTTGCAGTCATGCAGTGTTTGATCATGCATTGGAAGATCAGTTCGAGGTCATCAATTAATGATTTGTGCATCACTTTAAGTTTAGGTGACACTCAACAATATTTTACATTACCTCACACCTGTCAAAAGTATTTAATTAAACCGTAAACTTCTCACTCACCCACAAACATACACACATACAGTATATTGACAATAACACCTTACCTTATCTGCAGTGGGTTTCTTTGTCTTAGTTAATCTTTTCCAGCGAAAAATATCAGGGTTATGCGAGTATGCCATTTTTGAAGCCAAATTAGCTGCCACTTATTACAAATTAATACAGACGAATGCAAATCTTACTTGCTACATTTGTTCTATACCCTTCTCAAATTTATATGAACTACTTATAGCACTAGCTACGCTTACAGCAAAAAAATACTTAGTTAGAAGTAGGTATTTGAAGCTAATCCAAAAGTGATGTAGCTAGCTCCATGCTGTTCTGCTGTTTGCTAGTGCGCTGAAAATAGAACGAGATGCCTTGGTAATGTAGTCAATAGCCACGTTTCTCAAACGCACTGTTTGCTTGACAGTGGCATTAGTAAACTACAAGTCCCATTTCAACCTTTTGTCAACAGAAGCGTCCCTTTGGTAACTATAGTAACTTTGGACTCCTCCCCAAATGTCGAACGTTTGACTGTGTTGTAAAAATAGACGCCAAGTCAACCTCGATTGAATGTGCAAAGTCCACACGGTATTATCATAGTCCCACAGAAAGGGTTTGCAATTGTTATAATATATGCACACACTCTCAGTTTATTCAAGAACAAATGAGGTTTTGTAATGAGATGTGTCACTAGTTACCACAGCCACAAAGTCAACATATCGTGAAAATGAAAACTAAAATGTGCTTTTTGGTCTTCATTTAAAGGTTAGGTTTAGGCAAAAGGTTAGGAGTGTGGTTAGGGTTAGCATCAGATTTTAAGAAGATACGTTTTAGAAATAGGCGGAGTTTAGACATAATTATGACTTTGTGGCTGTGTTAAATAGTGACGACCCTCTCTGCAAGCTCCGAAAAGGATGACGTATTATGGAAGTGACCCAAGCACGGTTGATAACCCCGCGACGTGTAGTTTTCACGTGCTTTGGTTCCTGGTAAGCGAAAGATGCTAAACGTTCAATGACTCTGTTTTAAAAAGATGAAAACGTTACTTTATTCTCTTGAGCTTTGTCTAGGGTTTCGGAAATCAGACAAATATAAACATTTGTTAGTATACTGGACTATAAAAACGCCACTGAATTTAGCTACAGTAGTGTTAGCGATTGCTAACAACATCGTCAAGCTAGCCAGTTGTTTGCCCATTTTGGCCATAGTACGTATGGACAAACATTTAAACCGTAAACATCTGTTGGTTACTGGCATCATCCGTTTCTATTATATATGCCTTTCTACTTGCACCACAAATGCAAATACTCCACCCTTCACACTGGCGTGTTAGTGGGTATCAAATCTTTGATGCATTGTGGGTACATCTTGACTGACTGATATACAAATAATAACGAGTAGTAACTAGTTATTTATGATTCAAGGTGATTTGGAGATCAGTCAGTCGATTTCGAACAAGCACACTCTCTTTCATCATCCCCCTTGTTTCCCTCGTCTGTCTGTCAGGCAGGATGAAGTTGGAGCTGTCCCTCGTGGTGCAGGGCTGTCGGCTAGGCGTGCTGACGGGGCTGGGCAGGGCAGGACAGCACTCCCTGGAGGTGCCTGGGTGCCTGCTGTACACCCGCTGCGGCACGGTACCACACCTCACCCAGGACACTTTGCACACACTGAACAACCTGCCCTCCATCACACAGCTCACCCTGGACACGCTGTGAGAGCCTCTTCTATTAGCACACTCCCTCTATCTCTCTGTCTCTCTTTCTCGCTCTGTCTCTCTCTCGCTCTGTCTGTCTCGCTCTGTCTCTCGCTCTGTCTGTCTCTCTCTCGCGCTCTGTCTCTCTCTCGCACTCTGTCTGTCTCTCGCCCTGTCTCTCTCTCTCGCCCTGTCTCTCTCTCTTGTGTTCTGTCTGTCTGTCTCTCTCTCGGTCTGTCTGTCTCTCTCTCGCTCTGTCTGTCTCTCTCTCTCGCTCTGTCTCTCTCGCTCTGTCTGTCTCTCGCTGTCTGTCTGTCTGTCTGTCTGTGTCTCGCGCTCTGTCTGTGTCTCGCGCTCTGTCTGTCTCTCGCGCTCTGTCTGTCTCGCTCTCTCGCGCTCTGTCTGTCTCGCTCTCTGTCTGTCTCTCGCTCTCTCGCGCTCTGTCTGTCTCGCTCTCTGTCTCTCTCGCTCTCTCGCGCTCTGTCTGTCTCTCGCTCTCTCGCGCTCTGTCTGTCTCTCGCTCTCTCGCGCTCTGTCTGTCTCTCGCTCTCTCGCGCTCTGTCTGTCTCTCGCGCTCTGTCTGTCTCTCGCTCTCTCGCGCTCTGTCTGTCTCTCACGCTCTGTCTGTCTCTCGCTCTCTCGCGCTCTGTCTGTCTCTCGCGCTCTGTCTGTCTCTCGCTCTCTCGCGCTCTGTCTGTCTCTCGCTCTCTCGCGCTCTGTCTGTCTCTCGCTCTGTCTGTCTCTCGCGCTCTGTCTGTCCCTCGCTCTCTCGCGCTCTGTCTGTCTCTCGCGCTCTGTCTGTCTCTCGCTCTCTCGCGCTCTGTCTGTCTCTCGCGCTCTGTCTGTCTCTCGCTCTCTGTCTGTCCCTCGCTCTCTCGCGCTCTGTCTGTCTCTCGCGCTCTGTCTGTCTCTCGCGCTCTGTCTGTCTCTCGCTCTCTGTCTGTCCCTCGCTCTCTCGCGCTCTGTCTGTCTCTCGCGCTCTGTCTGTCTCTCGCGCTCTGTCTGTCTCTCGCTCTCTGTCTGTCCCTCGCTCTCTCGCACTCTCTCTCTGTCTCGCTCTCTCTCTCTCTCTGTCTCTCTCGCTCTCTCTCTCTGTCTCTCTCGCTCTCTCTCGCTCTGTGTCTCTTGCTCTCGCTCTGTCTTTCTGCCTCTATCTCTCTTTCTCTCTGTCTCTCTCTCTCGCGCTGTCTCTCTCTCTCAAACACACGGTAAGATAGTATTTAATAGACTTGCTTTGTGTGTCTTTCCTTTAGAGCAGAACACCAAGAAGTATTGGAAGAGTTCAAGGAGGGAGTCAGGAAGTTTGCAGGTTGGTACTGAATATTCCTGTTGAAATTATGCCTCACTACATCTACTGTCTCCGCTCTACACTTTTGACTGCGCCTTGCATTAGGAAAGTCAAACATGTGGCATGCATTCATATGCTTAGAGCATGTCCTAATATACATACACTACTGAGTGACCACGGTTTCATTAATGCAAATGCATGCATAAACGCAAAGCACGTTCGTAAAAGCAACTTTCATTTTTAACACATACACATGTACATAACTTTCTTTACATTTTGTCTCAGCTTAACTAGAAAGCACTTGGACATAAAGAAGAAAAGTAAATCACTTCGTTGCTGAATGTTTGTGAGTGGAAGAGGCAGAAGTGTATTGTTGAAAAGCACAATCAGTCTTAGCCCTTTCTAAGAGCAATGAATACGCCACATAAGTCCTGAATGGCTTTGAAACAGCCCTCATGTAGGAAAGTCAAAACTCATCACTCTCTAACAGAGATGGCTAGCTGTAGTGTGGCACCACTGAGCCGTTTCCTGCCCCTGGGCAAGCCAAGTTGAAATGAGAAAATATAATTAGCGTCCCAGCACTTGTTGTTCACACGCAGGGAATTATTACATTGTGTCTTGAGGCGGGCAAGGAGGGAGCAACCTGATTGGGTAATTAAAAATGAACGTGCCGCTGCCTGCCAATGCTTGTTGTTTTTGTTTAGGTTCTGGTTTTGTCACCTTCTGATCTTCTCTCACATCTGGCCTCTGATAAGGCCACATGGCTTCCAGTGTGTAGTTAACAGAATGAGCGAACTATCTGACATTACCAACAAGTCTATGTATCTGCCTCCTGCTGCTGTGTGCGCTCTTGCACTGTCTAGACTATTACTCATGCTACTGTACACGTTGTTGCTGTGCTGTCTGTTCTGCAGTAGGATGCATGCTTTAATACTGCGGTTGACCGTTCACAGGTCTTCATGACACAGTGTTGTACTGCTCCCTCCACGACCCTGCGACCTCATGCCCCCCAGGTCACATCACCAACAAGGTCAGAGGTCATGTTTGGGGGTCTACTTATCCAGCACAAATCATATTTTAGACTAAGCATTGGTGTCTGTCTAAATGCTTTACATGTCTGGGAGTTAAGTGGGATTGAGTGTCTGTGTAGTTGACACTAACACCAAAGATTTGCAGAACTACAGTGCATTCGGAAAGTATTCAGACCCCTTGACTTTTTCCACATTTTGTTACGTTACAGCCTTATTCTAAAATTGCTTAAATTGTTTTTTCTCATCAATCTACGTACAATACCCCACAATGACAAAGCAAAAACTGTATTTTTTGAAGTTTTTGCAAAAAATAACGGAAAGATTACATTTACATAAGTATTCAGACCCTTTACTCAGTACTTTGGCAGCGATTACAGCCTCGAGTCTTAGGTATGACGCTACAAGCTTGGCACACCTGTATCTGCAGATCCTCTCAAGCTCTGTCAGGTTGGATGGGGAGCGTTGCTGCACAGCTATTTTCAGGTCTCTCCAGAGATGTTCGATCGGGTTCAAGTCTGTGCTCTGGCTGGGCCATTCAAGGAAATTCAGAGACTTGTACCGAAGCCACTCCTGCGTTTTTTTGGCTGTGTGCCTAGAGTCGTTGTCCGGCTAGAAGGTGAGAGAGAGAGGTCTTGAGCGCTCTGGAGCAGGTTTTCATCAAGGATCTCTCTGTACTTTGGTTCGTTCATCTTTGCCTCGATCCTGACTTGTCTCCTAGTCCATGCCGCTGAAAAACATCCCCACAGCATGATGCTGCCACCACCATGCTTCACCGTAGGGATGGTGCCAGGTTTCCTCCAGATGTGACGCTTGGCATTCAGGCCAAAGAGTTCAATCTTCATCAGACCAGATAATCTTGTTTCTCATGGTCTTGGAGTCTTTAGGTGCCTTTTGGCAAACTCCAAGCGGGCTGTCATGTGCCTTTTCCTGAGGAGTGGCTTCCGTCTGGCCACTCTACCATAAAGACCTGATTGGTGGAGTGCTGCAGAGATGGTTGTCCTTCTGGAAGGGACTCCCATCTCCACAGAGGAACTCTAGAGCTCTGTCAGAGGGACCATTGGGTTCTCCCCCACCTCCCTGACCAAGGCCCTTCTTCCCCACCTCCCTGACCATGGCCCTTCTCCCCCAATTGCTCAGTTTGGCCCGGGCGGCCAGCTCTAGGAAGAGTCTTGGTGGTTCCAAACTTCTTCCATTTTTAAGAATGATGGAGGCCACTGTGTTCTTGGGGACCTTCAATGCTGCAGAAATGTTTTGGTACCCTTCCCCAGATCTGTGCCTCGACACAATCTTGTCTCGGCGCTCTACAGACAATTCCTTCGACCTCATGGCTTGCTTTTTGCTCTGACATGCACTGTCAACTGTGGGGCCTTATATAGACAGGTGTGTGCCTTTCCAAATCATGTCCAATCAATTGAATTTACCACAGGTAGACTCCAATCAAGTTGTAGAAACATCTCAAGGATGATCAATGGAAACAGGATGCACATGAGCTCAATTTCGAGTCTCATAGCAAAGAGTCTGAATACTTATGTAAATAAGGTATTTCTGTTTTTAATTTGTAATACATTTGCAAAATTTCTGTGAATTTGCATTTGCACTCTTCTAAACAACGCTATTTTTAAAAAACTTTGGTAAAGTGTAAATTCTACAAAATGTATTTCACTCTGTTTGTAACAGGTTCTAGTTTTGTGAACAGAAAACTGTGTTGAGATCAAAAGTTTTCGTCAATGAGAAAATAAGCAGAATGTTGGCCAGAATCTATCTGGCTCCATCTTCTCCAACTGCCGGCCAATGGGCTTCCTCTATCACCATATATGGTATTGAGTGGAAACGCCAAGAGGATGCTTCACATTTATACATCCGGTGAAATATCTGTCTCATTGTTCTATCTGTGCTAACACTGTCTATATTTGTTCCAGACGGTGTCTGTGTGGGGCAGTGGCGGTCGTATCGAGCTGACGGTAGCTAAGTTCATGGCTCTTCAGAAGGCTGTCCAGCCAGACCTGTACCAGAGCATGGCTGACGGAGAGACTTGGCAGATCAACACGTCTCGCAAGAGGGTCCGCAAGTCAGTGGACCGCACCCTGGCCCACTTGGATGAGTGTCTGCTGCTGCACCACAAAACACAGGTCTGTCTGGGACTGCAGCTGCTGGAGCCTCCCTCACACAAGGCCATGATGATGCTCCCAATATTAGAGGAATGACATTTAAAAGCTTCACTTACATGGGGTGTGGCAGTCATTTATAAGCATACTGTACAGACACAGGCTACTTTTTTTTTTTACACTGTCAAAATCTATCACCCTTTTCCAGGGTTCGTACGGTCATGAAAATCCTGAAAAAGTCGTAGAATTTAAAAATGGTGTTTTCCAGGCCTGGAAAAGTTCTGGAAAATGATAAAATCCGAAAAGTTTTGGAAAAGTCATGTAAATTAATTACATTTCTGTTAATGTAATTTATTTAGGCACAGTTTTTAAATATTTAAAAATCAAATAAATATCAACATATCAGCCAGGCTCGGAATGACACTTCAGCGTGTTTGTGAACATCACCTGCATGGGTGCAAGACGAGTGGGCCGTTTCTCAAGGAGAGAGGGGCAGTCGGACAATCCAGCAGCAGGTAGGCCGAGCATATAAAATATGATAGAGAACAGACTAACTAGGTAGGTAGACAATTGAAATCTTGTACCCTCTAGTTAACCGTTAAGCTATAAATATTTCTGTCATCAATGTCCCAAAAAAACACAGACACTTGCGAATAAGGCCATACAAAGTTGATTTACTTCTTTGAACGAATCATATGATTCATTTAAACAATTCTTTTTTATGAAATGAACGATTCACTTCGCCATTGTATTAGTTGGGGTTTGGTTCGAATCGAATCATGTGAATCAAAATAATTTGTGAGTCGTGAACATACATTTTTGGAAAAATTGTTAGATGTAGCCTTTCTTTTGGATTATGTGGATTCAAATCTTGTTTTGTAGATACTTCTAGTTGATTTGGGCATCCAATGTATGGGGCATTGTAACTCAATAGATGCTAGTCAGCCTGCAAAGTAAACACTTCTAAGGTAGCTAAATATGACTGAAGAAAATGTGTGGGCTTGCTTCAGCTGAATAAAAAGATTTGTAGCCTACCATAGCCATTTTATCTTTTAATATATTGAATGAGCTAATTATTTCAAAAATACATAAAATGTATTGGGTTGTAATGTTGCAGTGTTTTACATCAAGGGTGGTCAACCATCCTCCAGGAGAGCTAATGGGTGTGCAGGCTTTTTTTCCTGTCCCCCTCTAACACACCACATTTTAGAAACTCGATCTTGATAAACTGTCTCTGACGGGTTTGAGCAGGGCTTGATCAAAAGCCTGCATACCCAGTAGCTCTCCGGACTGAAGGTTGACCACGTGTTTTATACAGTTGACCACAGGTATTTTACTTTGTGGGGGGTTAAGTGCCTTGCTCAAAGACAGGAGAAGGTACATGGAATCATCGACAGCAGCCTCCCAGAGTCGATACCACATTATGCTTACTTTTGTACATAGAGAGGCCGCCAATTATAGATCCAGTGTAGCTCAGTTGGTAGAGCATGGTGTTTGCAACGCCAGGGTTGTGGGTTCGTTTCCCACGGGGGGCCAGTATGAAAAATGTATGCACTCACTAACTGTAAGTCGCTCTGGATAAGAGCGTCTGCTAAATGACTAATATGTAAATGGTAATTTGGTGAAAAGTAATACAATTACATCTATCATAATGTGTATGAACCCTGTCTTTCTCTCTCTGTGGTCTCCAGGAGCTGAGTGGGGTGGAGGTGTTTGGGGTGGTGGAGGGAGGGGATGTGCTGGAGGAGAGGGTGCGGTCGGCCAGGGAGACGGCCAAGCGGCCAGTAGGAGGATTCTGTCTGGACGGCCTCCATACTGCAGCCATGGAGCAGCACCTCCGGACCCAGCTCATCACCGCCATCATCAAGGAGCTGCCTGAGGACAAACCCAGGTGTGTGTGTGTGGTCCCACCTTAAACAAATAACATCTTATTAAGGCTTTATATAGCATACAGAAACTCTTCAGAGGTACTACATGGATGCATCACACATCTATAGACCCCTTTCTGTGTTTGCAAACGTTGCTGCACGAGGGTGATGCGCACAAGTTGGTGGCAGAACACGGGGGAGTTCTTATAGAACGCCAGTAAAAAAAGCCTCTATTTACATGTTGCTTATGAGTGCATTTCACACTACTTTTTGATTATAATTGGATTTTAAGGCTCGTATGAATGTCCTGCTTAATATAATGTTTGTCATCACAAATCAACTGCATTATACTTAACAAACACTTCAACTTCAACCAGTAAAATGGCTCTTTGGCTAGCTTTTGCTACAGCCTATGTCAATGAGTGTTAGCATTCTATCTAACAACTGCTGCATCCAAAACAGTTATTTTGCAAAGATCACAACCAAATATAATCTTAGCGACTGTTCAAGCAATAATCAAAACATAATTGTATGCGTATGAGAACCCAGAAAAGTGAGTTAATAAAAACTTAAATATAGGCTATGTTAAATGGGCACAGATGGCGTTGGCTTCCTTACTGCAGCCAAGAGTCGCTCGCATCTGTGTGTGACATCAGTGTGTCGTGTACTGGAAAGGGGTCTATAAGCTTCCTTCTGTAGAATGCATTGGCAGGAATGACATAACCCACTATGTTATGTCTATTATGACTATACCTTCAAAACACACCGATTTGCAGTTCCTCCGCTGTGCTCTTTCTCAGCACTGTGTGTGTGTGCTAGAGCTCTGCCTCAGGCAGCTTCTCTCTCTCTGTCGCTCTCGCTCTCTCTCTCCAACACACTCGCTCTTGCTCTCGCTCTCTCCAACACTCTCTCTCTCTCTCTCTCGCTCTCTCTCTGTCTGTCTCTCTCTCTCCAACTCTCTCTTGCTCTCGCTCTCTCTCTCTCGCTCTCTCTCTCTCCAACACACTCTCTCTTGCTCTCTCTCTCTTGCTCTCTCTCTCTGTCTCTCTCTCCAACACTCTCTCGCGCTCTCTCTGTCGCTCTCGCTCGCTCTCTCCAACACTCTCTCTCTCGCTGTCTCTCTCTCTCTCGCTGTCTCTCTCTCTCTCTCTCACTCGCTCTCTCTCTCTCCAACACTCTCGCTCTCTCTCTCTCCCCTCCCCCTCCTTCCTCACGGCTGTTTCACAACAGTAAAAGTTAGTTGGTATATCTATCAAAAACGTTCAGAAGAAAAACTCAGGCTGCCTTAAAAAGTATCTGAATGTTGCTAATCGCTTTCAGAGGGAAGAAAAGTTGCCGGCAGGCGTCTGAAATGTCACAATGACAAAGATCAAAGCTACTGAGTTGGCAACCCTGCCCGTTAACTCTTCATACGCTCTAGCTAGCGAAGTCAAACCTGATTTTAGGCTAAAGTGCCCCTCCACATCGGCTCCTGTTGCCAGCTGTTACCCTTCCTACACTCACACTGTCTACACCCACACGCCCATAAACCTTAAATATCAATGCTCCTTCATCCTTAATTAAAAAGTGTTAAAGGAAGTATGGATTATTTTTTATCCCCCTCTCCACTCCTCTCTGTCTCTTCTCTCCTCTGTTGCAGTCTGTCTATTCCCTCTCCACTCCTGTCTTCTCTTCTCTCCTCTGTTGTAGTCTGTTTATTCCCCCTCTCCACTCCTGTCTCTTCTCTTCTCTCCTCTGTTGCAGTCTGTCTATTCCCTCTCTCCACTCCTCTGTCTCTTCTCTTCTCTGTTGCAGTCTGTCTATTCCCTCTCTCCACTCCTCTCTGTCTCTTCTCTCCTCTGTTGCAGTCTGTCTATTCCCTCTCTCCACTCCTGTCTCTGTCTCTTCTCTCCTCTGTTGCAGTCTGTTTATTCCCCCTCTCCACTCCTGTCTCTTCTCTTCTCTCCTCTGTTGCAGTCTGTCTATTCCCTCTCTCCACTCCTCTCTCTCTCTTCTCTCCTCTGTTGCAGTCTGTCTATTCCCTCTCTCCACTCCTGTCTCTTCTCTTCTCTCCTCTGTTGCAGTCTGTCTATTCCCTCTCCACTCCTGTCTCTTCTCTTCTCTGTTGCAGTCTGTCTATTCCCTCTCTCCACTCCTCTCTGTCTCTTCTCTCCTCTGTTGCAGTCTGTCTATTCCCCCTCTCCACTCCTCTCTCTTCTCTCCTCTGTTGCAGTCTGTCTATTCCCCCTCTCCACTCCTCTTCTCTTCTCTCCTCTGTTGCAGTCTGTCTATTCCCTCTCCACTCCTGTCTCTTCTCTTCTCTCCTCTGTTGCAGTCTGTCTATTCCCTCTCCACTCCTGTCTCTTCTCTTCTCTCCTCTGTTGCAGTCTGTTTATTCCCCCTCTCCACTCCTGTCTCTTCTCTTCTCTCCTCTGTTGCAGTCTGTCTATTCCCCCTCTCCACTCCTGTCTCTTCTCTTCTCTCCTCTGTTGCAGTCTGTCTATTCCCTCTCTCCACTCCTGTCTCGTCTCTTCTCTCCTCTGTTGCAGTCTGTCTATTCCCTCTCTCCACTCCTGTCTCGTCTCTTCTCTCCTCTGTTGCAGTCTGTCTATTCCCTCTCTCCACTCCTGTCTCTTCTCTCCTCTGTTGCAGTCTGTCTATTCCCTCTCTCCACTCCTCTGTCTCTTCTCTCCTCTGTTGCAGTCTGTCTATTCCCTCTCTCCACTCCTCTCTGTCTCTCCTCTGCAGTCTGGCTCTTCTCTCTCCACTCTTCTCTGTTTCTGCAGTTCTCACCTCTCACTCACTGACAGATTTAGAATGTACAGCAGGGACCAGGTGAGGGGAGAGGACTGACTGACCAATTAATGGCTCTAATTGAGTGATCATGTGACACCTGTGAAAACCAGGGGTTGGAACCGGTTCAGGGAACAGAACCCAAAAATTAATACATTTTTAGAGGAACAGAATCAGAACCAGGAAGGAAAGTGATCTATTCTGTTCTGGAACAGAACCGTTCTTTTTTAAAGCATGGGAACTGGTTAATAACTTTTATTTTACGTTCCAGGCATTTTTTTCAGTTCCACCAAAAAACGCAACAAGGCGCCTATGCAAAGCCCTCAGATTTTATTTTTATTTTACTCTCACAGTGGGAGACTAAGAGGAAGACAGACACCACTCCCTTCCTTCTTCCCTCCCATCACTCAGAATCTCCAGGAAACCATGACAACCCCTGACTTCCCTCCTGGGAGCCATGGCAACCCCGTTCCCACTCTTCTTCCAGCTGCACTGGGAATACTGGCCTGGCTGGAGAGTAGACCCCCTCCCCTCTGACCTCTGTCCTATTCATTTTTACATTTTAGTCATTTAGCAGACACTCTTATCCAGAGCGACTTACAGGAGCAATTAGGGTTAAGTGCCTTGCTCAAGGGCACATAGACAGATTTTTCACCTAGTCGGCTCGGGGATTAGAACCAGCGACCTTTTGGTTACTGGCACAACGCTCTTAACCACTAAGCTATTCCCCCTTGCCCTGGAGGTGAGGAAGCCGACTGGGGCTCTGGGGTGGAGAGAGAGGTGGTGCTATAGGCCATATCCCCAGACGCTCCCTTTGGGCCGTACTGGGTTTCCTTAATGGAAAGAGGCTCCATCGGGCCTGTGCTGGGTCAGCCTGCCCCTGGGTTGTGGTGGTGCTGGGAGATCCACTCCCTCCCTCTGGCCACCAAGGACTCATTATAGGATGGTAAATGGGTTTGGCGCTGGAAACTCGAGGCAGGGAAGCAGAGAGAGAAGGTTAACTGAAACCTCTGTGAGTAGAGAGAGTGAGGGGGGGAAAGTGAGGGTGAAGTGGGTTAAGGGGGGGAATGGTTTCAGGAGGATGGGGGATGCAATCAGTTTTTTTCTGTCTGCTTTGTGAGCATGCATCTGTTCTGTGTGTGGATGTTCAGTTTTTGTATTGGTTTTGGTGTTTGAATGAGAGAGAGCGATATGCTTCAGGGATAACACTGATAGATAAGAAAGATGGATAAGAGTCTGTCTTTCAGTACGTCTGATAGACCGCGGATTGCCTATAATTCAATCATTGATCAACAGTGTAATACGTTTCTGTCTCTCTGTCTGTCAGGCTGCTGCAGGGTGTGGGGCGGCCAGACGAGGTGTTGGCGTGCGTGGAGGCTGGAGTGGACCTGTTTGAGAGCTTCTTCCCCTTCCAGGTGACAGAGCGAGGCTGTGCTCTCACCTTCCCCTTCAACATCACCACTGACCCAGAGGCAGCAGGGACAGATGTACAGGCACCCCCAACAGGTCAGTGTGTTCCATAAGCGCCAACTACCAGCCAAATAGCTGACTACTAACCCTTATGTGGCCGGCTACTTTTGATGTTTTGAGAACACATTGACAGCTGTGATGCAGTACTCTCAGAACCATGGACCACTGACAGGTGTGATGCAGTACTCTCAGAACCATGGACCACTGACAGGTGTGATACAGTACTGTCAGAACCATGGACCACTGACAGGTGTGATACAGTACTGTCAGAACCATGGACCACTGACAGCTGTGATGCAGTACTGTCAGAACCATGGACCACTGACAGGTGTGATACAGTACTCTCAGAACCATGGACCCGCTCCACACTGACAGGTGTGATACAGTACTGTCAGAACCATGGATCTGCTCCACACTGACAGGTGTGATACAGTACTGTCAGAACCATGGACCCGCTCCACACTGACAGGTGTGATACAGTACTGTCAGAACCATGGACCCGCTCCACACTGACAGGTGTGATACAGTACTGTCAGAACCATGGACCCGCTCCACACTGACAGGTGTGATACAGTACTGTCAGAACCATGGACCCGCTCCACACTGACAGGTGTGATACAGTACTGTCAGAACCATGGACCACTGACAGCTGTGATACAGTACTCTCAGAACCATGGACCACTGACAGCTGTGATGCAGTACTCTCAGAACCATGGACCACTGACAGGTGTGATACAGTACTGTCAGAACCATGGACCACTGACAGCTGTGATGCAGTACTCTCAGAACCATGGACCACTGACAGCTGTGATACAGTACTCTCAGAACCATGGACCACTGACAGCTGTGAAACAGTACTCTCAGAACCATGGACCCGCTCCACACTGACAGGTGTGATACAGTACTGTCAGAACCATGGACCCGCTCCACACTGACAGGTGTGATACAGTACTGTCAGAACCATGGACCCGCTCCACACTGACAGGTGTGATACAGTACTGTCAGAACCATGGACCCGCTCCACACTGACAGGTGTGATACAGTACTGTCAGAACCATGGACCCGCTCCACACTGACAGGTGTGATACAGTACTGTCAGAACCATGGACCCGCTCCACACTGACAGGTGTGATACAGTACTGTTAGAACCATGGACCCGCTCCACACTGACAGGTGTGATACAGTACTGTCAGAACCATGGACCACTGACAGGTGTGATACAGTACTGTCAGAACCATGGACCACTGACAGCTGTGAAACAGTACTCTCAGAACCATGGACCACTGACAGGTGTGATACAGTACTCTCAGAACCATGGACCACTGACAGCTGTGATGCAGTACTGTCAGAACCATGGACCACTGACAGGTGTGATACAGTACTGTCAGAACCATGGACCACTGACAGGTGTGATACAGTACTGTCAGAACCATGGACCACTGACAGGTGTGATACAGTACTGTTAGAACCATGGACCCGCTCCACACTGACAGGTGTGATACAGTACTGTCAGAACCATGGACCACTGACAGGTGTGATACAGTACTGTCAGAACCATGGACCACTGACAGGTGTGATACAGTACTGTCAGAACCATGGATCTGCTCCACACTGACAGGTGTGATACAGTACTGTCAGAACCATGGACCCGCTCCACACTGACAGGTGTGATACAGTACTGTCAGAACCATGGACCCGCTCCACACTGACAGGTGTGATACAGTACTGTCAGAACCATGGACCCGCTCCACACTGACAGGTGTGATACAGTACTGTCAGAACCATGGATCTGCTCCACACTGACAGGTGTGATACAGTACTGTCAGAACCATGGACCCGCTCCACACTGACAGGTGTGATACAGTACTGTCAGAACCATGGACCCGCTCCACACTGACAGGTGTGATACAGTACTGTCAGAACCATGGACCCGCTCCACACTGACAGGTGTGATACAGTACTGTCAGAACCATGGACCCGCTCCACACTGACAGGTGTGATACAGTACTGTCAGAACCATGGACCCGCTCCACACTGACAGGTGTGATACAGTACTGTTAGAACCATGGACCCGCTCCACACTGACAGGTGTGATACAGTACTGTTAGAACCATGGACCCGCTCCACACTGACAGGTTTGATACAGTACTGTCAGAACCATGGACCACTGACAGGTGTGATACAGTACTGTCAGAACCATGGACCCGCTCCATTTGGACCTTCAGCCCCTTTCACTCCTTTCTACTGCTTCAGTGGTTACAGCTCTGAAAGACCAGATAGGCGTTTTCATGAAGGAGAAAATACCTCTGGGCCTGGTTGTAGGTCTGCCTAACTCCGTAGTAGCATCCTAGTGTTACAGCTCTCCTGACCTTTCAGAGCCTGCGTCTGACTCTTCGTGTGTGTGTGACGATGATGGTCGTGATGGTGTTATTGACTATCTTGACAGTGTTTTGGTAATGATGTCTTTGATGATAGTTACGGTGATGATTTGTGTGGGAATGATACTAACCCCAGTACTCTCGTTGCGTTGATTTAAAACATACATGATTAAACATTACAGTGGGCTTTCATGGGGGAAGCCTGTGATCACGCTGTTGAAGATAATTGATGATAATCAGTACGTTGTTGATGATGATGAGGAGGAGGATGATGAAGAGTAGTCATGGAGCGTTGGGCTTTCCCCTCACCGCAGGGAGTCCAGCAGCGTACAGTAGTCTGTAATTCACTCAGATCCTTCTGCCACTGTAGACAGATCTCTCTGTTGAAGAGAGGCTTCTTTGGCTTAACGTCATGAATGAATCAACACACTTTGTTTTCAACCAGATTCCAGTTCAATACCACTGGGAATTATGGCAGCAAAAGGCCAGCGAGTGTGTGTGTGTGTGTGTGTGTGTGTCCATGTGTTTTTTAATAACTGTGTGAATATGATAGAAAGTGTTTCTTTATAATTGTGTCCCTCGCTGTGTGTGAACACGATAAATGTAGACAAAGTGTGTGTGTGTGTGTGTGTGTGTGTGTGTGTGTGTGTGTGTGTGTGTGTGTGTTTGTTTGTTTGCGGGGATAAGAGGCCGTATGCATTTTCTACCCCTCGGTCAAATAAAATAACTGGGTGGAGATACGAACCCAACGAGTCAGATGGTGAAATGAAATCAATGGAAGATCTCACTGTTACCCCAGAAAAAATATACATTAAATCATGCCGTTTAATCTCTGATAAAGGAAAATAAAACAATATGATTAAAGCGTTCCTGAGGGAAATTGAAGCCTCCCGCGGGATTTTCTATTTGATAACGATTTTCAGTTTGATAGCTGTAAAAGTTTCTGTATCAGGCCAAAGTTTCAGATTCAGAAGGTGAGGATCAGACCGATTTTAAGTGTCAGACAGCACTAATCGATTCTGCACGGGGGAGTGTAATGGGGTTCACTGGAGGTGAGTGTTAGGACAGGACTTGGGTCCATGAGCAAATGAGGAGAGAGCGTCCAAATCCCTCCGTGGGGAGGTGGTGCCATAGCCCTCACCCCAATCTGCCTCTTCTCTGGCACCACAGGCCCTTGTCTAATCCACCTGCCATCCTTGTCCTCTCTCTCACTCCCGCTATCCTCCCTCTCTCTTCAGATCACTCCCTCTATTCACTCTTCCTCCTTCCCTCTTTACTCTCCCTCTCTCTCCCTCCGTCCATCCCTTTTTTCCTCTCTCTCTTTACTATCACTCCCTCCTGACCTGACTTGTATTTCTCACCTTAAATCTTTCTCTCGCTCTCTCCTCCCCATTTTTACCTATTTTCCCACCTCCTTTGTCCCCCGTCCTGTTGTTCTCGCCGCTCTTGTTTTCACCCTTAACCATCCCCCTCTCTCTCTCTCAATTCATTTCAATTTCAATGTAAGGGCTTTATTGGCATGGGAAACGTGTGTTAACATTGCCAAAGCAAGTGAAGTAGATAGTAAACTAATGTGAAATAAACAATAAATATTAAGCGTAAACATTACACTCAGAAGTTCCAAAAGAATAAAGACATTTCAAATGTCATTATGTATATATACAGAGTTGTAACAATGTGCAAATAGTTAAAGTACAAATGGGAAAATAAATAAACATTAATATGGGTTGTATTTACAATGGTGTTTGTTCTTCACTGGTTGCCCCTTTTCTTGTGGCAACAGGTCACAAATCTTGCAGCTGTGATGGCACACTGGTTTTTCACTCAGTAGATAAGGGAGTTTATCAAAATTGGGTTTGTTTTTGAATTCTTTGTGGATCTCTGTAATCTGAGGGAAATAGGTGTCTCTAATATGGTCATACATTTGGCAGGAGGTTAGGAAGTGCAGCTCAGTTTCCACCTCATTTTGTGGGCAGTGTGCACATAGCCTGTCTTCTCTTGAGAGCCAGGTCTGCCTACGGTGGCCTTTCTCAATAGCAAAGCTATGCTCACTGAGTCTGTACATAGTCAAAGCTTTCCTTAAGTTTGGGTCAGTCACAGTGGTCAGGTATTCTGCCACTGTATTCTCTGTTTAGAGCCAAATAGCATTCTAGTTTGCTCTGTTGTTTTTGTAAATTCTTTCTAATGTGTCAAGTAATTCTCTTTTTTGTTTTCTCATGATTTGGTTGGGTCTAATTGTTTTGTTGTTGTTGTCCTGGGGCTCTGTGGGGTCTGTTTGTGAATAGAGCCCCAGGACCAGCTTACTTAGGGGACTCTTCTCCAAGTTCTTCTCTCTGTAGGTGATGGCTTTGTTATGGAAGGTTTGGGAATCGCTTCCTTTTAAGTGGTTATAGAATTTAACGACTCTTTTCTGGATTTTGATATTTAGTGGGTATCGGCCTAATTCTGCTCTGCATGCATTAATTGGTGTTTTTCGTTGTACACGGAGGATATTTTTGCAGAATTCTGCATGCAGAGTTACCTGTGGCGCTGATGTTTAGGCCGAGGTATGTATAGTTTTTTGTGTGCTCTAGGGCAACGGTGTCTAGATGGAATTTGTATTTGTGGTCCTGGCAACTCTACCTTTTTTGGAACACCTTTATTTGTGTCTTACTGAGATTTACTGTCAGGGCCCAGGTCTGACAGAATCTGTGCAGAAGATCTAGGTGCTGCTGTAGGCCCTCCTTTGTTGGTGACAGAAGCACCAGATCATCAGCAAACAGTAGACATTTGACTTCAGATTCTAGTAGGGTGAGGCCGGGTGCTGCAGACTGTTCTTGTGCCCTCGCCAATTCGTTGATATATATGTTGAAGAGGGTGGGGCTTAAACTGCATCCCTGTCTCACCCCACGGCCCTGTGAAAAGAAATTTGTGTTTTTTGCCAATTTTAACCGCACACTTGTTATTTGTGTACATGGATTTTATAATGTCGTATGTTTTTCCCCCAACACCACTTTCCATCAATTTGTAAAGCAGACCCTCATGCCAAATTGAGTCAAAAGCTTTTTCGAAATCAACAAAGCATGAGAAGACTTTGCCTTTGTTTTGATTTGTTTGTTTGTCAATTAGGGTGTGCAGGGTGAATACGTGGTCTGTCGTACGGTAATTTGGTAAAAAGCCAATTTGACATTTGCTCAGTACATTGTTTTCACTGAGGAAATGAACTAGTCTGCTGTTAATGATAATGCAGAGGATTTTCCCAAGGTTGCTGTTGACGCATATCCCACGGTAGTTATTGGGGTCAATTTTGTCTCCACTTTTGTGGATTGGGGTGATCAGTCCTTGGTTCCAAATATTGGGGAAGATGCCAGAGCTAAGGATGATGGTAAAGAGTTTAAGTATAGCTAATTGGAATTTGTGGTCTGTATATTTTATCATTTCATTGAGGATACCATCAACACCACAGGCCTTTTTGGGTTGGAGGGTTTGTATTTTGTCCTGTAGTTCATTGAATGTAATTGGAGAATCCAATGGGTTCTGGTAGTCTTTAATAGTTGATTCTAAGATTAGCATTTGATCATGTATATTTTTTTGCTGTTTGTTCTTTTGTTATAGGGCCAAAAAGATTGGAGAAGTGGTTTACCCATACATCTCCGTTTTGGATAGATAGCTCTTCGTGTTGTTGTTTGTTTAGTGTTTTCCAATTTTCCCAGAAGTGGTTAGATTCTATGGATTCTTCAATTACAGGTTTTTGCATTCTTCATCAAACCATTTGTCACTGTTGTTACTTTTCTTCGGTTTTCTGTTAGAGATTTTTAGATTTGATAGGGAAGCTGAGAGGTGTGTGTGTGTGTCTCTCTCTCTCTCTCTCTCTCCTATTTATTACATGTATAGGCTATTCTCTCCCCCTCTCGTTTCTCCCTCTTGCCCACTTCTCTGTCTCTCTCTGTCTCTCCTCACACTGACTGGATCATTCTGTTTGCCCTCCAGTTGACCTCAGCTGCTCTCTAGATGGAAGTGCCTGATAACTATTTAATGAAGCTGGTGGGCAAGAAACATTTCCTGTGTGTGTGTGGTGGGGTTGTGGGTTTTGGTGGACGGGGGCTTGAATTCAGCAAATTTTGATATTCCTTTGTCGGAAAGGAGAAGAGCGTGAAATTAGAACACACTGGACCATAATTGGTTTAGGATGTATGGTTTTAGGACATGATCTGACTGCTGTGGACTTTGGAATGTGTGGGTTCAGTGAATGGATCAGATTGGTCTAGTTGAATGGGTGTGGCTAAACGGATTGATTTGATTGGTATGTATTTTGGCAGTTGTGGAGTTGGACAAGTCGGAAGCTGATGTAGGTCAGAAGAATGGAACTGATAATCCCCAAGAAGACCAAACCAAGATGACTCCATTTGAGATCAACCTGAAAGATAAGAGGTTTGTGTCCATTTGTGTTTGTGCCAGTTGGTGTGTGTGTACACATGTGACTCTGGCCCTCTCACTCTACTCAAAGGAACATGTGTGTGCCTGTTTCCTCTGTGTGTGTGTGTGTGTGTGTGTGTGTGTGTGTGTTACTCTGGGTGTCTGTCCGTGTGTATGACCCTCTGCTCTCCAGGTACAGAGACGACTTCAGTCCCCTGGTGGAGGGGTGTGGCTGCTACTGCTGTAGGAACCACCAGAGGGCGTACCTACACCACCTGCTGGTGACCAATGAGCTGCTGGCTGGAGTCCTGCTCATGCTCCACAACACGGCCCACTACTGCGCCTTCTTCACCGCCCTGAGGGGGGCGCTGGCCAGCAACAGGCTGGACCACCTCAAGAAGAGAGTACTAGAAGGACGAGGCAAGGGGGTGAACAGGGAGGGGGCTGGGGAGAAGGATGGGTAGGTTTGTTGGAAAGGTAAGGCTGGGGAGAAGGTGGAATGGAGGGGAGAGGAAATGGAAGGGTTATTGGGAATGTGGGAGGAATGGAGGGAGTGATCCGGGTGAAAGTGTTGGGAGACCTTTCTCTCCGTCCTTGAGGAGGATCTGTGGGTTTGACAGGTGGCTAGATGAAAGCAAAGTTTCCGTTTTAATTGCTCTCACCTACCCAGTCATGTCAGATCAGTGATTACTTTCAGGCAGTCAGGATGCATTTTGGGGATTCCAAGGGGAAATTGGCTTTGCAGCGGGGCGGTAGTCATCCGTAAAAACAACAGGCATGTCAACAAATACAAAAGATATGACAGGAGAGGGAGGAGGAGGTGAAGGGGTGTGGAGGGCCAGTGGAAAAGGGGCCAGAGGGAGAAGAAGGGAAGATGGAATTACAAGTGAGAGGCAGAAAGAGCCAAGGAGGACAGTTGTGTATCGTATCGAGGTCAGCAGATAAGTAATGCCCCCAGTACTCATTAACATAACAGGAAGTGGAGCACGGACCAGTGGGACAACAAACAGCCCAAATAGAGTTTGGGGAGAAATGGCAGGAAACCTCCCTGGCCCTGCTTCTGCCTGAAATACGTTAACAAGACAACGTGTTTCCGCTGAGCTTTGGTGTGTGGCCTGGCCTCGTTGCCAGTCTCTCTTGCTTTCTGGATTGCTTTTTTTACATTGTTAGTTCTGGGCAATTCCACAGTAACAAAGTGATGCTGAGACTACGATTTTTCAAACAAAAAACAATGATTGCAAAGTTAAACTAATGATACAGCTCTGCACGAGGACTACTTTTAACAATTTCCAGAAAGAATTTTACAAAAACACATTTACTTGAAGAACAGTGCAGATGCAACGTTTGGTAACAGAATGACTGCTCAAACAACGCAAACCGTCGTTCTGTTACCAAACTTTGCATCTGCACTGTTCTTCAACTAACTTTGCAATCAGTTGTATGGTTTAACATTGCAATCAGTTGTATGGTTTAACATTGCAATCAGTTGTATGGTTTAACATTGCAATCAGTGGTTTTAGTTTAACATGCATTTTAAAGTGAAGAAAATCGGTCTCGGCGTTACCGTGGAATTGCCCTTCTATAAACACCTCTGATGCTGTCAGCATCTGTTTGTCATTTACATCTCTCTTTCTCTTTTTTTTTTCTGTAATTAATATTTTTCGCACCCAGTCCAGTATCTGATGAACGATGGGATGGGATTTTCCCACGTCTAATAAATTGAATGAGATGTGCTTTTTACCTGGCGGTTTTATCAATTTATTTTCTGTATGCAAACACACACACACACTCTGTATAACAGTGACTGATGCAACGTCCATGAGGAATACACTATCTGGTGTTATATATTCACATTGATACGGTCTCTACATGCATACATACAGGTAAAAGTCAGTAAATTAGAATATTTTGAAAAACTTGATTTATTTCAGTAATTGCATTCAAAAGGTGTAACTTGTACATTATATTTATTCATTGCACACAGACTGATGCATTCAAATGTTTATTTCATTTAATTTTGATGATTTGAAGTGGCAACAAATGAAAATCCAAAATTCCGTGTGTCACAAAATTAGAATATTGTGTAAGGGTTACATTTTGAAGACACCTGGTGCCACAAAATAATCAGCTGATTAACTCAAAACACCTGCAAAGGGCTTTAAATGGTCTCTCAGTCCAGTTCTGAAGCCTACACAAACATGGGGAAGACTTCAGATTTGACAGCTGTCCAAAAGGCGACCATCGACACATTGCACAAGGAGGGAAAGACACAAAAGGTTATTGCAGAAGAGGCTGGCTGTTCTCAGAGCTCTGTGTCCAAACACATTAATAGAGAGGCAAAGGGAAGGAAAAACTGTGGTCAGAAAAAGTGTACAAGCGATAGGGATCACCGCGCCCTAGTCAAGATTGTGAAAAAAAACCCATTCAAAAATGTGGGGGAGATTCACAAGGAGTGGACAGCTGCTGGAGTCAGGGCTTCAAGATCCACCACCAAGAGACGCTTGAAAGACATGGGTTTCAACTGCCGCATACCTCGTGTCAAGCCACTGTTGACCAAGAAACAGCGCGAAAAGCGTCTCACCTGGGCTAAGGAAAAAAAGAGCTGGACTGCTGCTGAGTGGTCTAAAGTCATGTTTTCTGACGAAAGCAAATTTTGCATTTCCTTTGGAAATCGAGGGTCCCAGAGTCTGGAGGAAGACAGGAGAGGCACAGGATCCACGTTGCCTGAAGTCTAGTGTAAAGTTTCCACCATCAGTGATGGTTTGGGGTGCCATGTCATCTGCTGGTGTCGGTCCACTCTGTTTCCTGAGATCAAGGGTCAACGCAGCCGTCTACCAGCAAGTTTTAGAGCACTTCATGCTTCCTGCTGCTGACCTGCTCTATGGAGATGGAGATTTCAGGTTCCAACAGGACTTGGCGCCTGCACACAGCGCAAAATCTACCCGTGCCTGGTTTACGGACCATGGTATTTCTGTTCTAAATTGGCCAGCCAACTCCCCTGACCTTAGCCCCATAGAAAATCTGTGGGGTATTGTGAAAAGGAAGATGCAGAATGCCAGACCCAACAACGCAGAAGAGTTGAAGGCCACTATCAGAGCAACCTGGGCTCTCATAACACCTGAGCAGTGCCAGAAACTCATCGACTCCATGCCACGCCGCATTAATGCAGTAATTGAGGCAAAAGGAGCTCCAACCAAGTATTGAGTATTGTACATGCTCATATTTTTCATTTTCATACTTTTCAGTTGGCCAACATTTCTAAAAAATCCCTTTTTTGTATTAGCCTTAAGTAATATTCTAATTTTGTGACACACGGAATTTTGGATTTTCATTTGTTGCCACTTCAAATCATCAAAATTAAATGAAATAAACATTTGAATGCATCAGTCTGTGTGCAATGAATAAATATAATGTACAAGTTACACCTTTTGAATGCAATTACTGAAATAAATCAAGTTTTTCAAAATATTCTAATTTACTGACTTTTACCTGTATGTGCTAGTGTTTGTCAGTGGTTCTGTTCCCCAGAGGTTTGGTTGAGGTTAACTGGAGGTTTTACTTTTCAGCTCCTGCTGAGAACAGATCAAGATATGGCAGCCGGTCACCACGGCCGTTTGAGATGGAGACAATACAGTCTCTTTTGAAGGATTGTGACTGTGACTGCGGGGTGGGTGGAATTATTGAGAGAGCATTGGTGTGTAACTGTGTGTGTGTGTGTCTGCATGTGACTGAGTTTTTGTGTGTGACAGGTGAGTGTGTGTGTGTGAGTGATTGAGCATTAATGCAGGTGGGCACGTGCGAGTTTGAGTTCTGGTGTGAATTTGTGTGTAGGTATTCGTGCGTGTGTTCGTGGGTATTATGTAATGTTTTAGAGCGTGTGAATGTGTGTGTGGCCTGCTGTGGGGGATGTGATTGACAGCGGGCAGTATTTGAACAAAGCACACAACCCTAATTACCCCTGTAAGCCACTCTGGATAAGAGCGTCAAAAAAATATTTTAAAAATAGAAATGTAGATTTAAAAGGGGTCCGTGAGTGGCACACACGCAGCAGGTGGGCCCCACAGCCCGCTTGAACTAATTACACTGACTGAGACTTCAGCAGATCTTTAAAAAGTTTCTCCACAACTTTTCTGTGTGATGTTTTACACATCGGTCCTGGACACACGCCAGCCAGATTACTATCGACTTCAATGGCAGCTACTGAGGAGAATGGGCCCTCTCTTCTTTAACCTCCTCTCTCTGCCAGCAATCTCTCTGCCTGTTTGACAGAGCCAGGGAGGTGGTGTGTAACAAGGATTAAGGCCGTGGGGTTTTCAGTTACACAAGGTGGTGTTTAATAAGGATTAAGGCCGTGGGGTTTTCAGTTACACAAGGTGGTGTTTAATAAGGATTAAGGCTGTGGTGTTTAATAAGGATTAAGGCTGTGGGGTTTTCAGTTACACAAGGTGGTGTGTAACAAGGATTAAGGCCATGGGGTTTTCAGTTACACAAGGTGGTGTTTAATAAGGATTAAGGCCGTGGGGTTTTCAGTTACACAAGGTGGTGTGTAACAAGGATTAAGGCCGTGGGGTTTTCAGTTACACAAGGTGGTGTTTAATAAGGATTAAGGCCGTGGGGTTTTCAGTTACACAAGGTGGTGTTTAATAAGGATTAAGGCCGTGGGGTTTTCAGTTACACAAGGTGGTGTTTAATAAGGATTAAGGCTGTGGGGTTTTCAGTTACACAAGGTGGTGTTTTAATAAGGATTAAGGCCATGGGGTTTTCAGTTACACAAGGTGGTGTTTAAGGATTAAGGCTGTGGGGTTTTCAGTTACACAAGGTGGTGTTTAATAAGGATTAAGGCCGTGGGGTTTTCAGTTACACAAGGTGGTGTTTAATAAGGATTAAGGCCATGGGGTTTTCAGTTACACAAGGTGGTGTTTTAATAAGGATTAAGGCCATGGGGTTTTCAGTTACACAAGGTGGTGTTTAATAAGGATTAAGGCCGTGGGGTTTTCAGTTACACAAGGTGGTGTGTAACAAGGATTAAGGCCGTGGGGTTTTCAGTTACACAAGGTGGTGTTTAATAAGGATTAAGGCCGTGGGGTTTTCAGTTACACAAGGTGGTGTTTAATAAGGATTAAGGCTGTGGGGTTTTCAGTTACACAAGGTGGTGTTTAATAAGGATTAAGGCTGTGGGGTTTTCAGTTACACAAGGTGGTGTTTTAATAAGGATTAAGGCCATGGGGTTTTCAGTTACACAAGGTGGTGTTTAAGGATTAAGGCTGTGGGGTTTTCAGTTACACAAGGTGGTGTTTAATAAGGATTAAGGCCGTGGGGTTTTCAGTTACACAAGGTGGTGTTTAATAAGGATTAAGGCCATGGGGTTTTCAGTTACACAAGGTGGTGTTTTAATAAGGATTAAGGCCATGGGGTTTTCAGTTACACAAGGTGGTGTTTAATAAGGATTAAGGCTGTGGGG